GTTGTTAAGAAAATTTAAGTAAACTATTCAATATTTTATTATATCTTCTTTTTTAATTGTGGTTATAAACAAGATGAATATTTTAGAATAAATGGTTGTTTTTCATGATTGAGTGTGCTTTGGGACAGTAAAATCCTGATATTAGGAATAAACATTGTTTTTAGCAATTGATAAGTAATTAAATAGTGTTAGTCCTTATTACAGGGTGTTTAGCATCCCATACTCTTAACCATGGTAATCATTACCAAATAATGCCATTCTTTAGTTCTTTCATCATGCAAAGTATGTTCATATATTACAGTTGATCCCTAAATGTTTTCCTTGAATGCATGCATTAATATGTTACATGACAAGCTCAAGCAGTAATCAAAAAGTAAAGTTCCAAATATGGAAACTGATTCTCCAAGTGTCAGTGCATTTTATATATCTAAACATTTCTATACCAATGACAAATTGTCCATGTTCCCAATTGTCAATTGTGACTTGATCATCAATAGAAAAGTTTTATGACATTTTTTTTTCTTATCTTATAAACCTGATTATCTTACTCTTAGGATTTTTTTTTATATCTTTGTAATGAACATTCTATATTTCCTAGGCTGACAAACCTTTATTTACTATATTGTTGTAGGCCAATTTAATGACATGCATAAGAATTATCAACACAGTCAGCAGTGACCAGACATTCATTAAAAACAAAGTCCAAAAACTTTCAAAGTCAATTTAAACTTGCCAGGATTTTTTTAATGTAACATTCTTGTCATTTTAATTTTGGCTAACATTTCTTACAATCGCCAGCAGCTGAAGGGATGGTGTAAATCCAACTAGGGTCCATTCAGGTAGCCAAAGTACTGTAAGTCCCCATGGTCCCTAGTTTGGTGATCTACCTTCTGGTGTTGGCGATCTATAGCTTGTTTTTATATTGTATTGTCCAAATAGTGCTATCAGTTTTAACTCTCCATACTAGTTTTAGTTGTAATTGTGATATTCTAGTTGTTTTACTGTCCTTCGTCGACAGGTTTTTTATTATATACATATATTTCATTTCAATATCAAATGTTCTCGTCACAATATGGCTGAAATATTGCCGATGTGACGTTAAATATTGACTCACTCACTCACTTCATTAAAAAACAAAATAAGGATATCTTGTTGATTGTGTCTGACTGGTGATTATGAGCACACTAATTATACTTCCTGTTCTAATTTTGACTATTTTATACCATTTGAGCCTTTGAAATTCATGTCAGTTGCCTGCTGGAGGCTATTAAATTGTGCTGAAGACAGAAGTAAATAGTATTGATAATGTTCTCATTTACTTGTAGGGATTGAAGGTCAGACTCCCAAACCAGTTTTTGATGCTCCAGTTTTATACTGACTGTTTTTCTCTTGTTCAGGCAGGATGCTCTTTGTATTTAACAGTTTACGGAAGGCAACTTATTCTATATAAATGTCTACACAGTGATTAAGAAGATACTTGTTTCATATCTTTTTAGATGTGTTGCTAACCGTTGATGTTATGTTTCATTGTATTTGGTACAAACATATAATTGAATGATGTCCATGAATGTTTTTTTGATTGGCAATGTTGATGGCAAGAGGATTTTGTATTTAAATATTTGTTCTTTGGGCCAGGTGTAATGTGTATATGGTTGATGAATAGTAAGTGTGTGAAATGTAAGATTTTTTGCGAGATTAATTTGGTCACCAGTCACTGATGCTGGTTATTAAGTGACTAATGTGATTGGGTGGTCACATTCAGTGTCTTGGTTGATGGTGTGTTTGTGTAAAACGACAACGTTGACCGCTGACAATATCAGTGACTGGATTGTCTAGTCCACACGATTTTACAGGTCGCTGTCAATTAGCTCAAATATTTCTGAAGGGGGTGTTAAGCAAGACACAAATACAGAACAATTGGTTTGACAGTAGAGAGACTAGGTTACCCAGCTTATGTTTAGCTCTTGGTAGTCAAACACATGACTGATGTATTTTCCACGTTTCCAGGAAGAGAAATATATGTCATGGATGCAATTTTGTTTTGAAGCAGCAACATGATATCTGTGTACATGGTGAAGATATTTCTACCTCAACGTTATACTGTTGAGTAAACAATAACTTAATGACATGTTTGATTTAGTCATGTGTACAAGCAGCACTCAACTATCTTGCATGGGTGGTCTCGGACCTGCTTCACTTCCTAAATACCAGTTCCTCTCACCGTTGAGGGCCTCACCCAGTGAACTGGTTACTGGAAGCTATGTAGGTTAGCGGGATGTACTGTTGCACCAAGTGTTGCAATGTTGGCAGCTCTCGCCAACAGTCTGGCCTGAGATGTGCTGTCTTGGTTTTGATATGAATCAGTCAGTGTTTAAGTTAACAAAAGTAGCCCATCCTGCTGTATTTTTAAATATGTGAAATAGTACCAGTTACCTGTTTAAAGCACTGGTTTATTTTAAGTAGCCGTAACTGTTACTTCAGTTGTTCCGATGGAGTTAAATTCTACCTAGCAGCAGTGTGTGGTATATATTACCATGGTAACATAACTAGATATTGGGAAAAAAAGAAATACTGGTAGTGCTATGTTTGCACTAGTCAGCGTATGAACTAGACTAATATCTAGTCTCTGAAATTAACATATTTTACAGAGAAAAAAAACTGTTCATAAAATATAATCATAATTAATGAAAAAAATCCCAGGCACTTTCTTCATTATGTTTGGGTTTGAAACCTATTAGTATTGAAAATTATTCACTGATCATGTTGATAGTATTGATTTATACACATCTGTGATCATTTTGTGTAGGAACGTAAAGGGTTCAAAGGCATTAATGCATCACACATAGATCGTGCTGTACTGGTACAGCTGTCTCTATATATAGAGTCTATCACTGATGACCTCATGACATTAATTCCTGGTCTAATTTTGTGCATTACATATTTCAGAATTCTTTTCCTCATTTTTTTTGTACTGTATTGATCGTTTTGCTTATCACAGGCCTTTCTCAGGATGAATGGCATTTTTGTCTGTGTGGAGATGACCTTTAGATGTGGTATAGATACTGTAACATTGGTGATATTGTCGTGGGTCATAAAGTGGGACACTTTTTACGGTTCATCATGTTCATATTTCCTTTTCTGAGGGCTAATTTGTTAGCAGTCTTTCAGTTAAGTGATAGTTTACTGGTGATAGTTTACTGGTATAGTTAGATTGGTGCAAGTGTACTCTGTGTCTATTTCATAATAATCATCATTATGGTTAATCATTTGATTTAGCTGGAGACTGATGGCAGTAGGATTGTTTTAATGATTTTATCAACTTTACTAGAAGTTTCTTTTGTACCTGACCAAATTTTAATTATATCTTTAAAACATTTTGGGTGATAGGTTCATTTTCTAGGACGCTGACACACACTATCTGGAAACAGGTTAGATGGTAAACCTGTTTGATGGTAACCAGATGGGAACCTGGGTTAGAACAGGTCTCTAGGTACCTATCCTTGTCATTAAGCAAGTTCCCCGCCGTGATATTGCTGGAATATTGCTAAAAGCGGCGTAAAACTAAACTCAAAAGCATGTTCATGATGTTTGTCTGGTAGTGTGTCATTGTGTCCAGCAGAGGGGGAGTTTGGCTTAGGACTATAGTTTTCCAGGGCTCCAGATAAGGGCCGTATCAGCGTATGTATGGATATAAAATAAGCACGATACGGTAGGAAATATTTTAGAAAACGTAGCAGATACGCACCACAGCAATGGTGTACGGTCTTAGAATCATTTACAGATGTATTTATCTGAAAACGTGTTGTTTTATTGTTTATTGACCTGTTGACACAAGAGTAGCGGAGAGCGGAAGGTCGCGGGTTCGATCCCCGACTGCGTCATACCAAAAGACGTTAAAATATGGCACTTGTTGGTCCCTGCCTGGCGCTCGGCATTAATGGGTACAACAAGGACTGGTCGGCTTGGAGTCCGTATAATGTGTCTGAGTGGGGTATTCATGCTTCACTGCTGCATGGTATCTCAGTGGGCTAGCACTATAAAACCAGCTTCAGTCTGGGCTAGTACAAGCAGCCGCACATACACATACACGCGCATGCACGTCGTCATATGAGAGAAATATTCTCAAGTACAACGTTAAACCCAATATCACCTCACCTCACCTCACAAGAGTAGCAATGTTGTGGTGCATATATGAAACGAAACACAAGATTACTGATACTCCATTAATTTCCATTCAGTACTCTAAGTGTACTCTTATTGTTTTCCAGTACTTCTATATAGAAAACATAAGGAGTATGTACTTCTGATCATGAAAAATTATCTGGAGCCCTGGTCTTCCATCGCAGATTTGAAATATTTCTGTGTAAAGTCTTTAACAATACACAAATACTTGATGTTGATGGTCGAAAGCTTGACAATTCCCCATGAGTTATTGTTCCAGACTTCTGCATGATATGACTGGTATAATACTATGTGCTAAAAACAGCATAAAACCAAATAATCTATTCTGAAATATTCCCATATTTGACCTTCAAATTATTCGAGTTTGCTTTTTTAGTATGTTCAGTGTGTTTTTATTCAGGAATAATAAGGTATCTAAAAGAAGAGCAATAGCCAAACTTTACACCATTTGATCATCCTGGGAACACCTGGGTCATATCATTTATCCTTCTTGGAAACGTACAGGACATGCATTATGGAATTCATAGAAAATGAGGAACAGCAGTATACTTGATTTGAGTCATGCTGATTATCAATCATGGAAAAATTAATATCAGGGTCTGAAATACTTTATTTTCACTTGTCTTTGAAAAACTATTTAGTCAAATTAGTGATACTGAGATGCCATCAGAATAATCGTAAAAGTGTCCAAACAGAAATGTCAAGTATTTCTGGAATTTTGCTTGTCTATGACAAGATGATTTGTGTTAATTTTGAACCTGGAATCAACAAGATGTATCCCTAACCACTGCTAACTATAAATGTAATTTTCTCTACAGAAATTAGAGAAGTTGATGGATGCCAGTGACGACTCTGAAATGCCTCTGCCAACATTTCCCCGGGGTCCAAACCCATACTTAGACCGAGAACGGTGCCTCCTATGTGGCTGTGAGCGGCAGGACCCTCCACAGGCAGAGAAGATACTAGCCGGTCAGTGACAAGCTAAACATAGTAGATATATATGGGTGGTTAAGGCAGGCTAGTGGTTAAGTCTTCTATCTTCCCAATGATCGATTTTCTGCACAGGTACGGCATGTACAATTTATGAAGCCCATTGCTAGTATCTCATGTGATATTGCTTGAATGCTGAATCCTCAGAATTTGTGTATATTGGAGGAACGATTTAATGCAATATTCAGATTTGTCTCTATCTCTGTAACTGTGTGTTTATGAAAAACAGGATACAGTAAAAACAAGCAGTAATATTGATGTGGTAAGAGTAAGACATGGGTTTGAATTTGATCAAAACGAATTCCTATGCTTTTACATTACTGAATGCTCTTTTAATTTGTTTCTAACGACTCTAGGAAATGAACTGCAATGTTAGCATGTTTATGTGATCTATCCCAAAATTGAATAGGTTCAGTGAAGAAATGAGATTTTGTATTATGCATTTGTATCTTTATTGTATTTTGTGATAAACTGAAAGAAGGAAATATCATCTTTATCATCTATATCTATCTAACTTCAATGTGGAGTTATATCCCTTGTGGATTTGTGGCTGTTGTACAAATTATTGACTCGAAATTGATTTTGTTACAGAGATGGATGGTGATGCTGAGAAAAACACAGATGTTCATGAGCTCACACAGGTAAGTTGGCATTCATGTTCTGTTGTAAAATGTGTCATCATATTATATATTATAGTATTAGCATGTAATGATAGACAATACACATGATATTGGTGGTGGCGCGTGGTCCTGTGCTTAAAGCTCAGGTCACAAATCGGTGAAGTTAAGCAGCGTCGAGCTTGGAGAGTCCTTGGATGGGTGACCGTGTTTGGCAGCTTGACTCCTGAGAGTTTCTAGGACTTGAGTCCTGCCCCACAACGAAGCACATGTGACACATGTGGTCTCACCTTAGGCAAGTGAGTTTGTTCAAAATTGTCTCTGTTCACCCAGCAGGAAAATGGGTACCCGGTGGAAAAAAATCATATGACTAAAACCTTCTAGCGCCTAACAGGCAGCTTGGGTTATCCGGGGTAATAATGGCCTTGATTGTTAGCTCTATGAGCATACCTAGTGCGCAGTTAGGCGCTATATAAATGGACACATTATTTATTATTTATATAAATAGTAACGATTTGGCTGAAATACTGCTGATGTGACTTTAAATTTTAACTTTAACTCACACCTTTTTTATAGCAAAATTAACTGTTTTGTTGCTAGTAACTTGTTCATAGTTCTTTACAGCCTTAAGAATTCATTATTGTATGCCCTTTCAAAGTGATAGAAATTAAAAATGGGACAAGGGTCTTTTAGGGGGTTGAACTGCTGCATTTGATTCTAGGGACCCTTCAATGTTTGAATGATTACAGGACTAGGGCAGTTAAATTGTATTGCTATATATTGTAATTCAGGTACCTTTATTGTGGTGCATATTTCAGTATTTTAGGAGTTAAAGCATTGACAGTGACACTCATTGTACATGCAAATCATGTATATACTAAAGCCCTCAATATAAATGTTGTGCTTCAGATAACAGCATTATCGAAAATTAGGATCGATAGCTACTAATTCTATTTTCTTTTGTTGTACAATTTAGAGTATATGAAGTGTGTCTTTTTCTCAATTTCAAAGGGAAACATTGCTTGTGATTGAAAGTCAATATTGCAATATGTATTGTTTCCATAGCGTACTGTGGGAAACCAGTATTATCATGCAGTAGTATACAGGGCAATATAAATTTTAAGATTGCTTTAAAAATGTGCCTTGCACATGCATGTTTAGGTATCATTTTGTGTCCGTGCAGAGGGACATCACACTGAGTAAAAACTTTCGGTCCATATAGCCTGAATATTGCTGAGTGCGGTGTAAAACTAAACTCACTCACTCACTGTGTTCACCTATTTATATTGCTTTGATTATTCAATTTCAGTCTTGAGTTTTGAAAGAATATCTAGAGTGTTTGTTAAAATAATGCTCTTTGTATATTTATGTCTCCCCCCGAAGGGTTGGGAGACCTATTGTTTTTGGTTGAGTTTCCGTTGGCGTCTGCGTCGGTGTCGGCGTTCCCATTGTTTCCGGAACATAACTCTAAAACTACTTGAACAATCTTTACCAAATTTGGTATACTGCCTCTCCATATCATGTAGATGTGCCTTTTGGGGGTTTGAACTTTCTTTCAATTTTCTTTTTTTCTGTTTCAATGGCAAGAAATTTGGACTTGTCTTTTTGACAGGTAGGGTTTGTGTACGGAGCATATCTCTGAAACCACTTCACCCATCTTCACCAAATTTTGTGTACTTAATATCAATTATTAGTAAGCTTAGAAGCATCAACCATATACATGTACTACTATAAAACACCATGAACTAGACTAGACTATTGACTATGAACACTATTGACTAGAGACAACTCTGACTGAAAAACAACAGCTTCATTCATGCATTTCGAAATAGAATCATTTAGAATTATGAATGTTTTGTAAAATATAACTGTGGAGTTGTTGATTTGTTGATAAGCAATTAAGTTCAATTGAATATAAAAATATTAAATGAAGACTCTACAAACTTAATAACATACTATCAATACTATGTATTTTCATACTTTAAGAGATTTTGAAATTGAAGGAATCAAATGAATTGTTTGAGGTCTCAACGTTGAATTGGGGGAAGTGGGATACATCTGTTTTTACGAGTAAAAACTCTTTGAGTAGTCAGACACTGATTTGGTTAATCCATGTCATCGTATCCCAAATAGATTGATGCTTGTGATGTCAGTCACTGGAATGTCTGGTCCAGACACGATTATTTACAGGCCACTGTAATAAGCTAGAAAATTTCTGAGTGCAGCATTAAACAACAATCAAACACAATTTTATCTACTTTTTTTTTCAGCTTCCCTTGTGGGTATGTCCATCGTGTCGGCGAGCGGCAGACAGTGAGCTGGAGAAGAAATCAGGAGTAGACATCAATCTGGTAGGATAATATTAACAAGAATTCCAACAACTCTAGATACTCAGGTTAAATAACAACTTGTGCAACAGATTAATTACACCTGAGATATTGAATTTCTTGTCTTCAGCTCAGTGTGTGTCACAATAGAGTTAGTGAGAAGCACTGGAATATTGCCAAGTTTTTGTGTTCAACAACAGACACATTATAACACAACTGAGTCTGTTCACTCTTTTTGTTTCATTCCCTTGCTGAGTCATTGACTGTTCGACTGTGTCTGAGTTTGGTATTTAACTCTTTCAACACCAGTCAACCAGAGGCATTTACTGCCATGACACTGAGTTCCCAGAGACTCTAAGGTCATAGATGAAGCCTATGTTTATGAAGGAAATTATAAGTTTGGACCTAACATAAAGTAGAGTTTCGAGGCTCTTTACACACTGTTTGATAAAGGGGGCGGTGGCCTAGCCTAGTGGTTAAAACATTCACTTTCGTCATGCTGAAGAGCCTAGTTCGCCACATGGGTTCAATGGTGTGAAGCCAGGGTTTTAACTGCTCTTCAAACTGGGAGTCCTGGGGACTCAGGGCATAGAAGAGTCCATTTCCAAAATTGGGGTCCATCAATTTGCATTAAATCAGTGATAATGAATGCTTCCCATTTTGATAATGTTATGTTAAGATATGTGTTTACTTTCAATGTCATTAGAATATTGATTGTAAATAGAATGTTTATATTTTAATATGGGATATCATTACAAACTCAGAAAGTTCTTTCCCAGAAAAAAATTATATTAGCGTCCACAAGGACACACAGGATTTTAGTTTGGGGTACTTCACCTTCTGCGTCCAATGATCTTTATGAAAATCCCGTTGTGAAGCCCATTTCTGGAATATTGCTGGAATACTGCTAAAAGTGGCGTAAAACTCACTCACTGTTTAATAAAAGGCTTCTTTGACTGATATATAGCATGGTACAGTGTAATATGCAGCATACAGTACTCCTGGAAGTGTTGTTACAGGAGCAGGATCTACACCTCGACACATCCAGCCTCCCCTTCCTCCCAGAGGTCAGTCTCGGTGGTGCCTCTGAACCAACCACACCCAACGGCACACTCTGCACGTGTGAGGCCTGCACAGAAAGGAGGTATCATGACTGGTTAAGTTCATTCTTTTTCTCCTCTCAAGCTTGCATGGTTTGCTGGCATTGTACATCAGCATGCTTGGGGGGCTGTAGCTTTGAGGAAATATTTTCATGTAGGTATGTGTACGTCTATGTAGCCATATGCAGAGAAAATAATAATGATATTGAGCATATTGATGTGCACCAAGTCCCCACCCTATTCAAAGTGCTAATATTTAAACCATAACAGATCAGAGAGCACCTAATTTATCATCTCACCTCCTTGTGTAAGTTTCACATTACCATGTCATCCTACTAGGTACCCATTTACTGCTTGGTGAACAAAGGCACATTTTAAAAGATGTCACTTGTCCAAAGAGACACCACACGTGCTACACGTGCCCAACAAATATTCAGGTGTCTTGCTGCCAATTGCATCTACATCTGTCCCCGACCAACAGTGTTGAACTTCCTCGAATTTGTGACATCTACACATGACCATGCAGGGATTGGGATAGAGAACTTTGACAATGGGCCATTTTCAAGACTATTAGCCATTTTCTGAATTTAGAATGGGCCACTGCCCTTGTATCAATAGTAAGCTTCAAAAATTTCAATGGGCCATTTTTTTTTCTAATGTGCAAAATGGCCCATGGCCCCTGCCTTTCCCAATCCCTGACCATGTGAACGTTTACATTGAACAAGGCTCTGCATGTGGAACACTAACTTAATGATAAGGCATTGCTGTGGATTGTGAAGTAACCATATTGTTGTAAAAGTAAGTTCCATGTTTACATATGTGTGAGAACCAACAGAAATGGTTTGGCAATGGCCACAGTAGATTTTATGGCCAACTGTTACCAGTGTGCTATCTCAGTGTTGACTTCTGTAATGTGGCACCCAAAAATAACTTAGTCCAGGACTGATTTCACTATCATCACTGTCAAAGCTGATGTGATACCGCTTTCATATTGCCGACAAAAAGATCACTCCCATTTATTAATGTTTACATGGGCGGTGGGGTAGGTTAGTGGTTAATGCGTTTGCTCATCATGCCAAAGACCGAGGTTCGATTCACTACATGGGTAGAATGTGTGAAGCCCATTTCTGGTGTCCCCTGCCGTGATATTGCTGCAATATTGCTAAAAGCGGCATAAAACCAAACTCCTTTACTCACTAATGTTTACACTACATTGGTTTTTCATTATCCTCATGCTTTTAGATATTCTGACATTTTAGTAACATGTTTCTATAGTTGAAACTAATTCAGTTTTTTTTCTGATATGGTGTTGGCGTTTTTCGTGTACTTAATTGCTGTGTTGCTGTTGGATTGCAGTGAAAAAATTCCACAACTGTTGTGAGAAATTAAGAACTACCTATTTACCTTGTTTTATTGCACTTCAACATCAAGTAAACTTTGTGTTGTAGGCAAATTGAGGCCGAGCACGAACGGGAGACACAGGAGCTTCAGAAGTGTTGGACTGACCTCCGAACTATTGTCCGAACACTTTATGGTGCTGACGACCCAGCATTGTCAGAGGAGGAAGGGGTTAAGATAAAAGATCTTGTGTGCAGGTACGGAGTATCAGTTACGTGTGCATTATTGTGGATTGGGTCAAAGCTTTGAGCTGTTGGACATGTTGTGGAGGACAAAAGAATTCTTCAAATATGATTCAATTTGTAAATAGTCTTATTCATTCTGCCTTGATACAAAACTACATGTTAAAGCTCCAAAACCCACATGATTGCACTAATACAGGGGAAAGCCATGACTTATATATGATGATATCTAAACATTTCTATTGGTCATGACTTGTTTCATTTCAAGTTTTCATGTCTTTATGGTGCAACTGTTTATGTTTATTCATATAAGATCTCTCTATGGATGTGTATTTTACAAACCTATTGTGTTCAACCTTTTCTCAGACTATGCAGTCGAGATCCGCATCAGTTGTTTCTTCGGCTGGAATCTCAAGTACGGGAATTTGTCATCGAAAAGAAAGTACGTCTCCTCAAGCAGTTAAACTGCGGCTACAAGTCTCCTCCACAGGCAAAGGAGTTCATCTCACTGCTTCTTGATGAATACAACCAGCTGTGTCTGGCATCCAGGCTTACAGCCGAATACCTCACTGACCTTGTGAGTACCTGAACAAATATTGTTTCTCTTTTCCTTGAAGTAAAGACAAAGGCCCCGTTTCGCAAAGCTCTCGTAAGCCTATGAGCTCGTAACTTTTCTCGAAGCATTTGTACCTCCTGTGTTACATTGTAGGAGGTACGAATGCTACAAGAACAGTTACGAGATCTTAGGCTTACAAGAGCTTTGTGAAACGGGGCCCAGGCCAGTTGTTCCATCTCGGGTTCCATCTCATCAAAGGCAACACACAATTTATCTCATCGATTTGGTTGTATATGTCTGTGTTTGCTCAATGCCACTTTAAGAAATATACCTGCTTCATGACAGTGCCCTGTAAATAACAGCCTGGATCAGATAACCCAGTGATTGGTATTAAGAGAAACTTTTAAAGCTGGTTCGCATGATGAAGTCACAAGCACATATTGAACAGTAGTGACTGACTTGCTCTTTGTTTACAGAAGGAACACATCAAGAAGTTCAATGTGACGTGGGAGCTCCATAACAAGCACCTGTTCCAGTCAATTGTCTACACTGATCCGGCCATACATAACAGTCTGCATCTTGTCATTGATCAGCTGAGGTAGGCCATAACCTAATAGACGTCTACTAACATTCTGTTTGGTCTATCAGATCAGAACTCAGCAAATAACTTTGATGCAACACTGGAAGTAATTGATTCTGATGCTCAGAGCTGAGTCCTGGGCAGTAGGTTTTTGGTGCAGACTGGTCTTTTGGATGTGCCCACCTCTGATATCATCAGTCATTTTTAACCCCCAATTTTCTCTTGATGCTGGTTTTATGCATTTGTAGTTTTTGAAAGACCAATGCAATTAATATTTCTTATTGTAATTTTATCATACTTACAAAATATCCTATCATTTGAATAATTTAGTGATTTTATAATTGGGTGTTTCAATATAAATGCAGTCTGAATGGAAATATTAAGCAAATCATTACCTGGGTTGATGACAGCTGAACTGCTTTTATGTTTGTCATGTCATTTGCTTTGTTACCTCCCTTTGTATGCAAGTGAATGGCAGTTGGTATCTCAGTGAACAGACCCATAGAGACAGGCTGTTTGCTAGATACCTACCATTCTGTTTTGTATTTATATCCACACGGTGTCAAGATAACATGTAACAGTGACGTCTCGAATGGTTGTTTTTATGTTAATATATTTATGTATATATACTCTTATTAAACTGGGGCGGTGGGGTGGCCTAGTGGTTAAAGCGTTGGCTCGTCACGCCAAAGACCCGGGTTCGAATCCCCACATGGGTACAATGTGTGAAGCCCATTTCAGGTGTCCCCAGCCGTGATGTTGCTGGAATATTGCTAAAAGCGGTGTAAAACTAAACTCAGTCAGTCTTATTAAACTGGATAGAAATTGGAATGTGCATAAAAAAATCATTACCTTAGAAACACATATGAATTCACCCCTTGAGGTGTTGGTTATTTGGTAATTTTTAAGCTTAAAATATGTCTTGAAGCATACATTTTTTATTTACATACTTGGGCATACTAGGACATATAGGTAATAGATAACCTGATGTATAAACAACAGTGACAGTGTCTAAGATGTTAGCCTATTCCCATGGACCATGCCATTGTGTCATGGAGTTTGCGTGACATCTTTCTAAAACCATGGTATACAACCATGATAAATCAAAGCTGACTAACTAAATGAATCTATTAATCCCTCTTTGGGAAACTGTCACAGTGTCTTGTGGACATCGTTTCTTTTCGACACGATAATAGTTACTGCAGATTTCAGGTAGAAATCTTATGGTGAGATGGTATGTAATATTAGCAGTTGTTAAACACCAACACATCCTTTACCCAAGCTATGTTTTGTGTGGCCCGAGTTGGTGATGTGGTTTGTCTCAGTGTATTTGAAAACAGAAATGTCCCATGTCAGGTCCGACATGTCGAAGAAAACGCTTGTTTTCCTCATGTGTTGTTCACAGGACTTTTATTTGTTAAAGGCCATGATAGCAGAAGGCCTGATATGCTTAACTCATTCCTTTCAATATGACCTTTTTCACAATTATAGATGCTGCATGTAGCTACTTAAAAACTTAGATTACACTCACTCGCATGGGATGATGCAGTTCTATTTCAAAAATGGTAAAGATGTAGTTTTCTGGTTATTACAACCAGTATTTACTGTTACTGATTTTATCCACAGAAGAGGGGCTGCATCCAAGGAGTCTTACAACGAGGACACGTACCCCAACTTGTTACACCGGTTCCTGAAATTCCAAGATGAAATGTCTGTGATATTGGTGGTGTGGCGGGACTGCCAGCAGCTCATAGAAGCGTACAATGAGGAGCAGGTGAGTGTTGTCTCTACTTGAACTGGCAGTGAGTCTGGTATGTTGAGAATGCTGATGATGCGTGTCACGATAAGCTGATGTTATGTATCCAGACATATCCCCAAAGTTGGCTGTTCTGATAAAAATTACAGTACTCAACTGTAGCACCATTTGAATATCCTCACGTTCCACAGGTATGTGTTACATTATGTATCATGGTACTCATATTGCATCAAAATTGCCATGAACCATGGCCTAACTAATGAGGTTCTTGTTATCAACAAATTTGTGTACATTTACATGACTGCGCATATTGATGTTTTCTGATAATTTTATGCAAACAGAATAAGCATTTTGATTCATGATTGTGGCGATGAAAAACTAGCCCGAACAGTGATCCTGCAAAGTTATTGCCAAAATGAAGTATATATAACTTTTTGAAAATCATTACAGTTTTAAGACATGAATGAATACATGTCGAGGTGTATTGTGTATGGTATCAAGATAAGTCATTGCAATTAATGAGTTCAGCTGTAAATGTGCATTTCAGTGACTTTATCCAAGTATGTGAAAAAACAGGTTTTATATTTGGAATTATATATCCACAATTTCAAAAGGCAAACCTGACTGTTTAGTGCTTGTGGTATAGTGGTGTATGATGCTGAAAGAACTGTAGGTAAGTGTTGAAGTCACCATCTGATGTTGCTGTATTGCAGACCGCACTCAAGGTGAAGCAGAAGTGGTTGAAGGAAGACTGGGAGTTCTTCAAGGCCCAGAGGAAGCTTCTGGAACAGCAGGTGCTCAAGAAACAACCCAAAGACAGACTCTCACATAGGTAGGCAGTACAGATACAGCTTCTTTGTACTTATGTGTCAAACAAACTTTATTCAATTGTAGCTTCACATAATGCGTCCTGATCATTTGCAAACTCTTTATTTGTCCTGTAAGCCTTGAATTGTATTTGTTATTTTGGCAAATAATACCTGAACCATGTACATCATATAGATTTCATGTCAATGAATAGTCGGATTTTGCTGTGGGGCTCTGGAATTCACATTTATTGAAATATCATACATGATAGAAAGGGTTGTGCATTTGAAAGGTCATGCAGACAAATAATGAAACTTTTGAAATTTCTCAGTGCACAAAAAGTTGATTTATAATCATTAATGAATAGCATAAATAAATCACAGAATATTCTCTTATTAGTAAAGAAATTGTGAAGTTGAACTTACTGTAAGCAAATCATACTCACATCTGTAAGGAAATGACATGAAAGAATTATGGAAAATCCTAATGATATATTTAGAAACACATGCATGACTAGAGTGATGTCATTTCGTACATGACTTTTCCCGTTCTATATATTTCTGTTGCAATCTCTTAATAGTTGTCTGCTATAAAATTCTATGTATATGATCAATGTGGGAAATATTATATCTTGCCACATTTAAGAAAATATACAATAGTGTTGTTCTACTTTGACCTTGATTATTTGTAATCATTTGCAGTATGGAGGTGCAGTTTACAGAAACAATGAGAAATATGTTGACTGGCACCAAACCAGCACATGAAGAGTGTTTTTGTCCTCGGTGTAACAGAAAAAGGTAATTAGTAATTACCTGACACAACCCTGGCCAACAATAGGTGTGCAATTCCGCACAGAGATCTGGATGAAATGTGTTAATCTGAGAGAGAAAAGTGGGGTGGAAACGTTTCGGAGTTGAATGATCACATGTGTTGATATGAAGAAACAAGTTACCAATGATAGTTAAAGTGTGAATTTTTGAAATTCTACATTAATCTCAATGTTATTAACATGAAATGACATGTTGTCCCAGGAATGGTGTCCACATTCGTTGTGCAGAGTTGCATCCCTTGTGTGTGCCAGAAACCATCGATCATTGGTTTGAATACCGTTCACTGTGTATGTGTTTCTCGGTTAGCCGGCACCATGCCTGTGCATGGTGTTAAATTTCATAAGACCTGCATCACATAGGACAGTTCTCCCTCCTTATGTTGACATGCCGTGATGAAGCTGGAACACTCATGTTGTCATTTGACTCAACTCACTCATTAACAAAGACTGAGTGGTAGGCTTGGTTGGTTGGTTGGTGTTTAACACTGCACTCTGCAATATTCCAGCTATATGGCGGTAGTCTGTAAATAATCGAGTCTGGACCAGACAATCCAGTGATCAACAGCATGAGCATCGATCTACGCAATGGGCAGTTGGGTAGCATAGTGGTTAAAGTGTTCGCTCATCACGCTTAAGACCCGGTTCGAAATTTCCCGCATGGGTACAATGTGTGAAGCCCATTTTTGGTGTCCCCACTGTGGTATTGCTGGAATATTGCTAAAAGCGGCATAAAACTAAACTCATTTACCAAGAAGATACTCTGAACTGTCCCAACATTGTTTGTTGTATAGGATGTGATAACTGACATACTAATTAGATGCGTTTACTTCCAGATGTACCTGTGATGAGTGTACAATTACCCACATGATCACATGTGGTATAATCAATCCCGATGCCTTGGAGAACAACAACCACACCCACACCTTCAACTTCCCACATGACCCAAGTCGCTACGTCATAGACGTGGACCCACCCTCCATGTCCAGTACCTCTTCCAGTAGTGGCTCATCCAGTCCAATCATGGTCGAGAGGAACAGACTCACGCTTCCGTTTGAGTAAGTATTTCTTTGTTTTTTAATGCCACACTCCGCAATATTCCAGCTGTATTGCCGCGGTCTGTGTATGATCAAGTCTGGATCAGACATTCCAGAGGTCAACAGCATGAGCATTAATCTCTGGATTGTCTGGTCCAGACTTGTTTGAGTAAGTAGTTTATGACCTGGTTTGTCCTTGAAGGAGTTGGCAAGTGCATTTTGTTATTGTCAGCAACATTCTGGCTTCATGATAGTCTCCTTATAATCATGTGGGCCAGGCAAATCGAAGTATGATCAATGATCCATGTCATAGACACTAGTGTTGGTCCGATTAATTGAAATAATCGAAGATTGGTTGCAGTGACTAAACGACCAAACAATCGATCATGTTTTCTCATAATCGAACACAAACAATTCTGGAACACTTTTTGCATAAACAATATTTTTCACACGGTTGGTTTTTGTCTGTTACATTTCATGAGCACTACAAGCTCGTTCCAAGTGACAATTGAATTTATCTTTAAAACCCTACGAAATTTATGTTCCTAAGGTACTAGTCATCCTTTAAAGATGTGCAATTTGCAAAAAACACCCCAAAGAACAACATGTTTTTTCTTTACTTTTTTGTGCTTTTACAAAAATAACCAGGAACATTTCATACATGACGCTAACCAATTATTTTCGACAATTGATCGGTTGTAATGAACCAATCATCAATTATGAGATTTTAACCAATTCCCAACACTAATAGACACCAAGTGAAATGTTTTCATTTGAGTTGATTCCTCATGGTCTCCTCTAGTGAGTCCAACCCATGAAGATCCGCGTTAGAATTGGTCTTCAGTTGTAAGAGGCAATTAACAGGATCGGGTGGTCAGGCCTGCTGACTTGGTTGACATGTGTCATTGTTTCTCAGTTGCGTAGATCGATGCTCATGCAGTTGATCATGTGATTGTCTGGTCCAGACCTCGATTATTTACAGATTGCCACCATATAGCTGGAAGAGTGCTGAGTGCAGTGTTAAACATCAAACCAACTAAATTTAGGATTGGTACACAGCTGCCAGTGCTGGTTTGCATGAGGTGACATTATTTGGATAGATCGGCCTCCCAACTTTGTTTCATTACATGGATTGTTACTAATAATGTCAGTCACTTGATTGTCTGGTCCAGCCTGGATTATTTAGAAAAATTGCATATGTCTGTAATTTTGTTACGGTGTGCAAGTATTGTGGTCAAGTTTTCCATTGTCATTATTTCATGTGCACTATTGTTTTCTATTGCTGTAATGAATTTTGTTATGTTTAGAAATGAAGAAAATGAAGACATACCTGAGGAGATAGATAGCCAGTCTGAGGATGAGGAAGATGATGGTGATGAAGATGAAGATGATGAAGACGACGAGGACGAAGACGATGAAGATGATGTTGAGGATGATGAAGTAGAAGGAGCTGAAGGAAGTCAGGAAAGCAGCAGTGCAGGTGATGGTGGCAGCGGTGGAAGTCCCACGAACATTGACCTGGGGGACAAGCGCATGCAGGCCTGGGTGGAGACGGAGGCACTGAAGCTCATGGAGAAGACCGATACATGTGACTGTCACCACTGTGTTACACAGACACAGGCGGAACAGTTGGTACGTTTACTACTCTTCTCTTTCATAATGCAGTGTTAAAAATTAAGCAAGAATGTCAAATACAATATAAAACAAACTTTATGGATAACAGCTTCTTTTATTTCGTGAGTGTGACGTTTCAATACAGATTCTTGTCATTCCTGCTTGATAATGGTACAAGTATCTATTGAAATGTTACACTCACGAAATAAAAATGTTGTTATCCGTAAAGTTTGTTCAATATTGTACTTCCCAACCTTTAAAATGCCACACAAAGAAGAAGAAAGTCAAAGGTTCCTTGTCATAACACTAACGTTAAAAATATTTGGGGGTCCTGAGATTCAAATTGGGAGAAAAGTCAAGGACCCAGGACTACAAAAACTAATCAATAGGGTTTATATACACTATGAAACCGTATGGCATTAAAAAAATCATTATCTTAGAGATTTGTGTATATTGTTTTGGAGATGCCAGAAAAAAATCTTTTGATAGGCTTTAGAAAGTTTTGTTTAAAGTTTTCTGTAGTTTCTGTGTTTGGGGGCGTACATGTAAAGTTTTTGCTGGGGTTAACTTGTAAACCAGGTGTGGATGTTTGTATCATCTCTGATGGTTTGAGTCCGCTTTGCTTTACCTGCATTTAGTAATGTATACAACAGACAGCTGTTCATTTTCCTATCTTAAAAGATGTGATCATATTTCATGTGATGAATAGTTGCTGCAATAGCACACCAGTTAAAGCTGCAACACATATATACCTATAGCCATACATGTTGACATTCATGTGTTTTACTTTCAGCAGAAGGTAGAGGACAACCAGTGTCAGTGCCATGTGTGTCTCCAACAACAAGGCCAGACTGTGTCCACCTCCCTACCCCAACATGTGCCCATCACGCCCCGCCCCGCCCAGCTGACCTTCACATCTACCCTCACATCCACGGCTCACCAGGCCTACACAGCTTGCAGGCTCGGAACATGCGGTCCATCTTACAACCTCAGCTCTATGACCTCCATGGGCCTCTCCGGCAATCCAAACTCCCTGTCAAACTAGACTTTGACAACCCTGAGAACATTCAGGATCACTTATACCATGCGTACGGTGACTGGGATAATACTCCGTACGACCCTCGAGTGGTGATAGGTGGTTATAGGTACGGAGGAGGGCTTGGTTCTGATCTTCTTCCTCCTCCACCTATCACAACCAATTCTCCCTACCCTCCGGAGCCCCTTTCAAGTGTGTCACAGACGGCCACAACTACCACAACCTGTACAACCACTAGTGCTTTAAATAACCATCTTGCAAATGCAATTACCAAGTCGATGGACAGGTCCAGTGATCATCAAGTGAAGCCAGTCCTCTCAGACAGTTGTGCCAAGTGCTCTGAACCAGTGTCGTCGCTGTCGTCGTCGGTGTCAACGTCAGTGTCTCAGCCTCATGGACCACCGTGTACGAGGCCAGCTACTCTTGGTGGCAACACCCAAGTCCAGCAGACAGGAGTTAAACAGCCCCACACTCATTGTAAGAAGCATGTGAACGGAAAGACGACCTCTCAGCCCAGCCATAATCATAGTTTACAAGCACATGGAGGCCTACAGGGGGTGCAGTCTGATCTGTTGAAGAATGCTGCAAGGAATAAAGATGAACTGTCGCGACCTCTCCGCAACTCCAGTCTGAACCCACATCCATGCTCTCATGCTAATACTCGGAATGCCTCCTCTGTGCATCAGACACAAGGAGACTCCCATGCAGGATGTTGCCCCAGCTCGGTACCCTTGGCTACGACGGTCAACAATGTGAGTGTGGGAACGTCCACTGTGTGCACAGACCCAGACTGTGATGCTCACCATGACGACAACTGTGACAGCATTGACGACAGCTGCTCCGAACAGAGTTCTTCCACCTCCACTTCCAACAACCAGAAGGAGGGCAGTAAATACTGTGATTGCTGCTACTGTGAATTCTTTGGGCATGGGAATGTAAGTATAGACCAAGTCTACCTGTTCACTCTGTATTTAGTAGACCCTTGAAGATCTGGGTTAGAATTTGTCTTCAGCAACCCATGCTCAGTTATGGCATTTTTCTGCCGATCCTCAGATTTCCGCTGATGTTAAGCGTCTGGGGTACCCCCCCATTCGATGACACAATAATTATTTTTCAGCTGTAAGTAGATTTTCCTGTTGCCATCCCTGCATGGTTGTAAGAGGCTAATGAGATCGGGTGGTCAGGCTCGTTGACTTGGTTGACACATGTCATCATATCCCAACGGTAAAGATATTGCTCATGATGTTGATCACTGGATGGTCTCGATTAGTTACAGACTGCTGCCATATAGCTGGACTATTGCTGAGTGTGACATTAAACAACACACAGACATAAGCTGTATCTAGTATTGTATGTTCCTTTAAGATGAACTCTTAAGGTTCTTTATATTAACAGTCTGCACCTTTAACCACTGGCTTAAAGCCTGAATTTTTTGTATTTTGGTCAATTAAGCTCAATCAGTAACAGCCCATATGTTAGAATGCACAGACATTTATGTTAAAAACTAACTGTGGTGATGTTCTGGTTCAGACTGTGATGATCATGTTAAGGTTGGCATGAGTTGAAAATCATCTGCATGACATATTTGGAGTACTAGGCACAAAACTTTTAACACTCGCATGCAGTATTAGAAAGATTGAGGAGAATACTGAAATGAGGATTGTGCTACTTCTGTAGCTGCAGCAGAGTAGGCTTCTGGATAGTACTTGTTTACTATAATGACCAAATTACAGTAAGGCCTAGAAAAAATTTGTTGTGGTTCCGATTACCCAACCGACCCTTGAATTCTGGTGCCGACCCTATTACTTATAAGCAGTATGAATGAAATAAGCTTTCAGATACCATTGTTTTTTCCTGGCATTGACGGATATCGGTCATTCTGATAGAGAAAGTCGACATGATGGCCGCAAACTTGATTGAATAAACAATTACACATTGATAAATGTGTTATTAGTTAGTACTTTACTTTTTTTTTAAAATGTTAAAAAAAATCCTACCTACCTATCCTAAATTTTAAAGTGGTGTAATCGGAACCACAACAATTTTTTTATTTGGCCTAAAGGAATATAAGAATATCCTTGGCACAACCATGCTAGATTATTTAAGGTTGTGTATCAGTTCTGTTGTAAGAATGCTTCGCCTGATTCAGTACAGTCTTGGTCCCATCATTATGAATGCCTTACTCAAGAATGCATTAATAAAGAAAGGCCCTCACGAGTGTTGTGATGTGAAGGCTAATGTAGTAATATTGTAATTCAGTGGGACATCCGATCTCATTAGTGCGATTCATGAATGACTATTTGTATTTCCATGAGGACTACCTCCTTTGCCATTCAGTAGATGTCTAAGCTCTGCAGCTAATTGTTTTGCAGATTCATATTCATTCATAACCCAATATAAACAAGGACAATATTACCAAGTATCTTCAAATATTCCTAGCATGCCTACCCGTGAAAGTCCGGGTTGGAATTGGTCTTCAGCAACCTTTGCTTGTTGTAAGAAGCAACTAAAGTGATCGAGTGGTCTGGCTTGTTGACTTGGCTGACACATATCATACCCTAACTGGGTAGATCAATGCTCAGGTTGTTGATCACTGGATTGTCTCGTCCAGACTGCATTATTTAAAGACGGCTCCCATAAAGCTGGAATATTGCTGAGTGCTGTCCATTTGAAAATCTTTTTGTATCCATTGCTTTTATATACCTGGTACATCCAGCATCAGGTTGAAATTTCTTGTTTCCTGAGCAAACATTATCAACATCAAGTGAAAGGAAAAAAGAACGGATATAGTTTTTGATGTTCTATTCACAAATTTTCAGGATGAATGCACTGCTAAATGTAAAATCTCTGTCACCTGACTGCCATGTGATTGAAACTCGATGTTTGTTGCTATCAAACTGCAATTATTATCACTACTGGAAAGCAAGTGGAAGTTATATTGTTTATCTTCAGAATGGCTTGTCTTCACTTGATTATTAGCAGACATAAAGCTATCTTTGTTAATGCCAATTTCTGGTGTCCCCGCTGTGATATTGCTGGAATATTGCTAAAAGCAGCATAAAACCATACTCGCTCACTCCTTGTTTATGATTAATCACAATGTGTCATGAGTTACAGATTAGTAGCTTTTGATACTGTTACACGCTTATTATTCTGTTCAGTCATTAATTTCTGCATCTGAAATGAATTTGCTCTGACTTTGTCCTGTTTAATGTATTGAAGGATTTTATGTTACGTTTAGTATTTCCCCAACCCAAATCTCTTTTTTGATTGTAGCCACCGGTTGCCCAGACCAGCAAGAACTATGCAGAGATGAGAGAGAGACTACGGAGGCGTTTAAAACGGAAGGTAATTAGAGTCCGTTCTGTCCTATGCTCCTAAAAATAACATGTTCAAATTTCTCAGGTTTCTCGTTGCCATGGTAAGATTACAAACTGTTAGTGCAAAAAAAGGTGTGACTTATAAAAAATAATTTATGAATGACAGGGGTGACTAACTTCTGTTCCTTTGATAATTTTAGTTGTGTCAAAACACTGGAGTTTATACTTATATTCTTCTGGTGGATCGCCTTGAGCAATCACGGCTTATTTCATAAGAAAGAGGCTCAGAACAGCAAATTTTCAATGAAGTGGTTTATCTTTACCAAGCAGACGGAAGCCAAGACAGGGGAGGAACAAGGTGGCCTGACTGAGCTGACTATGGAGAGTTCTTGTAGTCACAGCAAGCTGGCGGATCCTCTTGAGATGAAAGGGCTGGAGGAACTACTTCGCTTCATCAATGGCACTGAAGAGAGCAAGAAAGAGGAGAAGGCTCAGAGTAGCAAGGCGGCAAAACGGGCTCGTCGGAAACAGAGACTAGTAAGTGCACATTCAGTGGAATTGACTGAATTCAGATCCTGACTGTCTTATTCCCCGTGAAGATCCTGATTTACACAGTGAAGCATTAATGAACAAACACAAAGCGCCTAAATTGAGAGAAATTATCTTTTTGCTGTCTTATTGCTCTGATGAAGTATAATGGTAGGAGACAACGATCACTTCATGACTTGGTTCGAAGTTGCCAGAAATCCTATCGACAAAACGTCTGTAGCACGTCCTTCATAATCCAATGATGTAGTATAGAGTTAAGTTAGGTTGCTATGTTATGAATGCTTTGTGGATTGGGAACCTGTGCTCTTCCTTTAAGGCCTTAAAAAAATAATGTTGTTCGATTACCCGACCGACCCTTGAATTCTGGTGCCGACCCTAGTTTTTTTTAGAGGTATGAATAAAATAAGATTTCAGATACCATTGTTTTTTCGGACAATGGTCATTCTGATAAAGAAACTCGACATGATGGCCGCAAGCTTGATTGAATAAACAATTACACATTGATAAATGTGTTATTAGTTCGTACTTTACTTCTAAAAGAAAAGAATTCCTACCGACCTAAACTAAATTTTAAAGTGGTGTAATCGGAACCACATTTTTTTTGTTTGGCCTAAGTAAGAATTCTGAAATGAAAGTCTGTTAGCTGCGGTGGCTTGAGTCTTTGATTAAGTTACCAAATACAAAACAAAACAGGAATTAGTTATTTACAGGTTGCTATAATATGGCTGGACTGTCATATTGCAATATTTCTTCACATTAAGGTCATTGACATTTTGTTGGTTTAGGTTATGTTTATGACATTGCTCCTATCAATCTTGAAATGTAATATTCAAAAGGTTAAAACTGAATTTATATGTGAATGGTTAAGACTGAATTTGAAATTGAAATGATAAAATAGTTCATCTTGTCTCCTTATTAATTTATGAAGGCTGAAGAGAAAGCACGAGAAGAAGATCGTCGGCAAATGGAGGAAGAGAAGAAGAAGAAAACAAAAGAGGATAAAAAGAAGAAGGAAGGACTTTTAAAACATCTTGAAGAAAGGTTTTCATCATCTTCAGAATTCGACTCAAGTACAGGCTCACTGAAGAAGAAGAAGGGGAAGCACAAGGAAAGATCTGAGACCATCCTTGCGCCTCTCCCAACCTCTGTACCTCCTACTCAAATGAATTGTCGAAGTGTTCCCAGACCCATCGAAAGTGCCAAGCCAGCTAAGGTGGAAACAATAGTAGAACGGAAGCAAGAAGTCATTAAAGGCCGAGATAACACACCATCTCCCAAACAAATCCTGAAAACCTCAGGTTCAGGCAGTGCCCCAACAACTCCTACGAAAGACTTAAAACAACAGGCCATGACAGACAAATCCCAAACAATGACTCCTGACAGACAGCGGCGAGCAAAACCTGCTCAGAGGACAACACCCTCCAATGACACAGTTGTGTCGAATCATCCCAAACCCAACACAACTCCACAGCCAACTCCAACAATCTTGTCCAGACAGCCTGCCCAGCCAGCCAAACACACAGCCCAGCAGAAACCCCTACAGAACAATGTTCCCAAGACTACCAACAATACACGTAAAGCAGTACCTCCACAGCCTTCCCCTTTACAGAACCATGTGGACACCCACCCGGAAGTGGATTTGTCAAAGAAGGGCAAGAAGAAAGTTGTCACACCGGTAGTACCACCAACAGCCAGTCAACCTGTATCCAAGTCCACCCACAAGCAGAATGGCTCAATCCTCAACAGAGTGGAGATTGTGCAAACACCATCAAATAGCAATGGGAAATCAATGGAATTGACCTCGGGAAAGGATGCAAAAATCACTAGGAATGGTGTTGTATCAAAAGGCAATGGTGAGCTGCTCATAAGACCAGGCAAGAACCACAAGCTTGCAGATAAGAAGCAGGAAACTGGAGCTCCAGAACAGGTACAAAATACATTATCAATTGCTTTTATTGGCTCAGCAAAATCAAGCAATATGTTCCTAGTAATGTTTGCCACGACGGCTGTGGTCTGGTCCACACACTTTCATGGTTAACTGCTTACATCACCATCAAGAATGTAAAATGTTTTGACAAAACCAAGACATTGCTTGATGTATGATGTAAGTACAGTGAAACCTGTCTAAACCAGCACCCCACGGGACCGAAATAAAATGCCGGTTTAGACAGGGTGCTGAATTAGACAGTGGATCATTTTCCAACATGGCTGCCATTTACACTCGTCAATCTCTTTATCTCTATAATGCCTTTGATCTTTTGTAATTGTGCAGCTAATTAAAATTGGAAGTTGCGGTGGCTGAGCGGGTTTGGCAGCTAACTTTATGTGCTGGCGATTAGGTGCCTGACTCTGAGTGTGGGTTCGAATCCAAGATGGGACTCAACCCAAAAAGTACTAGAATCTGTACTTTACTAAGAGAGTGTAATCCCAAATATAACATATATTAAATGAAAACAATGTTGATGTTTGCCGAGAGGAGTGTATTGGATTAAGGGACCCTGATTGGACTGCTCGTACCCATGCCGGCTTAGAGTGTTTGATTCACCGCGTAATCACTACTTCCTGATTATCTAGTGTGCCAAGAGGATTAATTAGTGTATTGGATTATGGGTCTTTGATTGGACTGCTCATACCCATGCCGGTTTAGACAGAGTTAAAATTGCTTGTTGGGACCGGAAAGTCGTGCCGGAATACGGAATAGACAGGTGCCGGATTAGACAATGTTTTAATGATCATAATTTCGTTGTGAAATGGCAGGACCAAAATTTTATGCAGGTTTTGACAGTTCGCCAGGATTAGACAGGTGTTGGTGTTGGCAGGTTTCACTGTAGATGAACAAAAACCACAAACACTGTAACAAGTAACAAGAGTTTAAGATCAAGTATACGTATGATATGTATATATGATTAATTTGAACAATATGCTATTTACCTATAAGAGTGATGTGAAAAATCAAGAAATGAAGTAATTTATTTTTATCTGCAGAACAAAAATGGAAAAGTCAAGAAAAACAGGAAGAAGAACAAAGGAAGTGATGGCTGTGTTGGTAAGCAAAGATTATGAACTTATAAAAATCCCCTGCCTGGACAAGAAAATCTTTGTTGATAATCTGGGAGTTTTCATGGTGTAACACTTTACATGTCTTTTATCTAAATCACACGGAATAAATTCAGTGTTTCATGGAAGAGAAAAATTTATGAATACACATTGTCATTTTGAAAGTGGTCAGACCCATGGATTTGAATCCTGGATGGGACTAAACCCCAAAATGTGCAAGGATCTGTTCTTTACTGAGAGAGTGCAATCCCAAATATAACATGTTAGAGAGAAGTTATAGTTCTTACTGTGTGTAGTTTGCAATATGGACATCATATGTAAGTGATTCAACTGCCGCTCAATGTCTCTTGTATTATTCTGTAAGATGATGTGTCCCAAAGATTTTATGATATATTTTACAATCCTACCACTCATCTAAATGAGCTTACTTGATCAAATATTCATTGATGCCAGCTCATAATGTCAGCTCATAGAGTTACTCCTTGGAATGACATTGTCAATGTTTTGTTTCAGATGAAATCTTCATGCCACGATCTGAGTCTGACCTTGAAAATGGAGACATGGATGAAGTGGAGCGGGAGCTAGAGGAGTTTAAAAGGTGAGCTGTTGGGAGTTGGCTAACCATCAGTGAGTGTGGCATGTTGTGGTTAGAATAGATATCAGATGTACTACTTATGCTGGTGGCCGTCAATCTTGCATGTTAAAGTTCTGTGATAAATTGCAAACCTTTTGCAGATCTTCTTCCGAAACTGCCAGATAGCTAATTTTTACAATTTCATGGGTCTCAGTTTGATATTCACAGTTATCTCCCCTGCTGAATAATCCCACTGTGTATAACCATTGACTTGGTCAATACTATTGGTTTCTGTGCATATGATCGACATGATGATTGTTACATGAGATTTCATAATTCTCTTAAAGGTTCTAATACATCAGTCTGTGACTCCATCCACAAATGTGTTCAAGCTGAAGCCTGAATCTTGTTAAATATCTGTCATTTTATTGCAGTCAATAATGGCCCTCAAAATGACACGACAATCTAGAGATGTTTCAAGAACACATGTTTAGGCTTACAGACTTTGTTATAAATTGAACATGCACTTGTTGCAAGTAAAATCAAATTCCTCATGTCAAGCCCTGTAATATTTTCTTATGGATGGACACTGCCATGAACATTAAATGTAGGCGAAAAAGAAATATGTTCTCAGTTTCAAGGAAACTATTTTTGTTGCAGATTCTGTTTTGATAGTCCACAACCTCAGAAGAAGGAGAAGCTCCAAGTTAATTTCAACCTGAAGGACATCTTCTCTAAGAAGAAATCTGGCCTTGGCTGTAGCTAAATGCCTCAGCTTTTTATGTGGAGTTTGTTTCGCAGTATGGGCACAGATTGTCAGTATTGTGGGGACTTTGCTTTAAATATGGTTTTACTTGTGTACCTCACAGGCCAGGTCGCACAATGTGTGCTGTAGTAGTGCTGTATTCAAGATGGCTGCTGCTCTTGTCCATGGCGACATTAACTAAGAACATTATACACTTTGTCATCTTCATTTTATTGATTTCACTTGGACATAATCCATGATGAATTTAGACTTCAACAAATGTTACTATTCCCAATGTGGCATTCCATTCCTCCATCAGCCCTCATTTGTCACTCGAGGTCAGCAACACTTTTTTGTAGACAAAACCAGATATTTGGTTTAAGATCATCTTTGGTTCAAGGAGGTTTGTTTTTTTCCTGTTTTTTTTCACCGAGGAACCTTTCCTCCAGTTATCATACTTAAGTACATGTTATAGTTGTTGAAAAGACTACTGATATTTGGAAGGTCCATTGGAATGGATTTGTGAGACGAACAGTTATTGTCTTTGGCAAAGGTGACAACTTTTACAGCTTGTGGAAGATTGGATGGTAATATGAATTGATTCTGATTCTTGAGAACTATCTCGTAGAGGAAGAAATGGATTTTAATGATCAAATGATGTTATGGCTCGCCTGTAATTCGAGCTGCTGTTAAATTGTTGGTTGGTTGGAAGCCAACTCTTTGTACCCAACTATGTGCAAAGCTACCAACTGCTGTAAGAAGCATGGGGACTGAACCGCACCAGCGAGTGTCTGTCTGTCCCTCAGTCCTGTCATTGCTCATGCTGCTATGCAAGACGTTAAACCCGTGCTGGTTTAGCCACAGTATATGTGATGCAAGATGGAGTTTTGGTTAGATTTGTTTGCAGGGCCTTGGCTGTGTATTGCATATTTATTACCTGGATGTTAGGGGGATTATGTGGGGAGGGATGAGATGGTTTGGGTCGGGAGACACAGTCAAGCGCTATTGTTTGTAGTTTGCCTAGTTGACTTTGCGTGGCTTGTACGGAAGATTGAGTGATGCATGGAATAATCACATTTTTTTTTCATTCATGATGACGCAGGCAAAATTCTGTTTGTTGGGCTTGATTTACCCTGCTGTATTTTAGCCTGTATATTATCCTATAAACTAAAGTTACCCTTTTTACAGAAACTGACTTTGTGTTGTCAATTATATATGTTCAGCTGACATAAGCTTCATAACAGAACCTGGTGTAGCTTTGTGGTTAAAGTGGTTTGATTCCCCACATGGGTGCAATGTGTGAAGCCCATTTCTGGTGTCCTTGTCGTGATGTTGCTGGTCCCAACTCACTCATAACAGAACCTGATGCATCTGTACCAACTCGGCACAATATTTACCTATCAACATGCTCATGAACATAAGATATCACACATGCAGCTGAAACACAGATTACTTTCAAAGTTTTTACTGTCAGTAGATATTCAAATTTTTGTGAGAAATACTGATGACCAAATATTCTCATAATTAGTACACAAAATATGTACCGGTAGTAAAAAACCATACATACCGAAAGTCAACTTAATGAGACTGGCAAGTTCAGAGAAGTTGAACATTGAGAGCAAATAATGGTCAAAACAGAATGTCAAGTTAGTCAAAATTTTAAAAAGTCAAGAAACACACCTAAACATTACTGAATTTAATTACTTTTCTTAATAAAAATGTGAGATTAAATAGTAAATACATTGTACAGGTACATATTTCACTATAAGATGTTACAGCAAATAGTAAGTGAAATGAAGGTCATATGAGTGGCGAGTTGTTTCTTTTGTTGATCATCAGCATTTTTTGTAATTGCAATTGTACGTTAATCTGTGTAATTATGGCTATGTGGATTAATGCTCCATGTCTAAATACAATATTTGAGGTTGCCAGCATATATCTGGAATGTGATGTGTTAAATAAGTAACAAAAAACATACTTAAAAAAGAGAGTACCCCAGTATAATATTCCTGAAATTCGGATGGCCAATAAGCATATGACCTTCCCTTGAGAATGTGAATTGACCCAGAAATGTGCAATATGTAATCTTGTGCAGATATCAGATAGTGGCTGACCCTGACCTTGTAGTATCCAAAATAAATAAGCTATAGAACATATTTGAAATTCTGTCCAACTGATTACACAATGGTATTATTTGTTGGCAGGAGAAAAGATAATTATGAAAGTCAACAATAGTCCTCAGAAGCAAAACTGGATTAAGAGGAACAATATAATTTTAGAGATAAACATTTTCTTTTTGCAGTAGATACGACATTATCAATTGCTTGATAACTGTAAGGATCTACACCAACACATTCTCTTGCAATCAAGAAGTTGTCTCTCCATCAAAGTTATCTTTATTATACCAGCTTTTGTCACTTAAAGAAGTTAAATAAATTCAGTGTACAACGTATCCTGAAATATCCTGTAAGCATTAATGAGCACCACCCACTTCAGGTATATGCCAGATTAAAAAAATGACTGGTGTGTCAAACTGGCAAGTCAAAAAGAGTCAATTTCAACAACACCGACGGATCAGAATCCAGACCACACAACGAATTTGACTAAAAACAAATTCTGTAGGCATCTGATTTTCAACATTAGGATCCTGTGCCATTCCTGCTGCAGTTTATTCCTTTGTTGTAATACATTTACACAACATGAGGCGACAGTTAAAGCATTTGCTGGTCATGCTGAAGACCCGGGTTTGATTCCCCATTTCTCTTGTTCTGTGATACTGATAAAAGTTTACTATAATTTTACCAAAAAACACTCACTCACCAGTGTGCGAAATGTATGCTGGTCCTGGCTAGTAAAAGTTCATCAGGACCACTAAATGATAAGTTTGCAGTTGTCCAGGTGGCTAGTGAATTTTGTATTGAACGTGTTAAGTAAATCAACAAATGTTATTTAGGACCAGTGAAGTACAGACAGGACCGCTACTTATTGTCCACTCACGGGTCCTGTGGTCTAGTGGGAAATTATGAAACATGCTGACAAGTCAGGCTTGCACTATTTGCCACTAGATGTGAATCAGGTGTTGTAAATATATATACCAAAGACAGACACCCTCCTCAAGGATTGCCTCACCCAAACACTGTACATTCATTGTTTCAGAGTAAAACATTTTATTCAAACTTTACAGAATACTTGCAATAAAGAACAGTATAAAGGTTTTCATGAACAAGATCTTATGTACAGTTGACTAGAAACTAGATACACAAATCTTTAACAAAGTGACTTCATGATTTTGGTTCTTGTTGAAGGCACAGGTGGTTCAAATTTTATTTCTTGCATAATAATATACTGGGAAACAATTACATCATCTTATTGTTGAAACTTGTGGCAGTGGATGCAACTTTCTGTTCTAAGCATAAGAAACTGAAATTATTCAAACAAGAACGAAATGTCCGTAGAAGTTAACACAGTAATTACCCTCTCTGTGTCTGCAAATTTTCCGTGTAGATTCATACAAATTAAGGAAGAAATCATCCTTTAATTTTAGCTGTACGTTCATAACAAATATAAATAAATTAAGAAATGAAAGCTATGCAAAAATAGATGATAGCAAGCTCTGCTAAGTCGTCACTAAATAATAATTTAATCATTATTAGGGTACAATATATACATAAAAAATATACCTGTACATGTTACTGGCGATGAGTTCAAAATGCTTGTTGTAGTCATGATATCAATGGAACAAACCTGGTTTTGTAAGTAGGTTCTTATCACTGCCAACTCATGACAGATGACAAAATATGAAAGCACATGTTCAAATGTATACAGTTCATTGGTTTGTGGATGGTCCTGTTTATATGACAATGTCCAAGGCAAGAAGGAAGAGTCAGTGTTTTATCCGGGTGTTGTTGGAGAAGCCAGAGGCGATGTCAGCTGTGAAGGCCCGGAAACGATACTCCAGCTCTTCTCGGCGTGCAAGCAGCTCCTGATGCAGCTCATCAGCCTGGGGAATACAGAGGGAATGTTATACACCTGAACTTGTAGTGAGGTGCATAGAGCACATCGAGTACAACATATTGTGTCACAAACAGAACCGATTCAACCAGGGAAGAGTCTGAAATAAAAGAAATGTGAGCACCTCGTCAGCTGAAAACTATTGAGAACAATTTTTTATCTAGAAAGTTCACATTCAGTTATAAAATGAATTTTCCTTTGAACACTGATCCTATATTTCATATCTGAAAAGTAAACAGGACCAACAACTATATTGTTTTGCTGAGAAAAACTGTTTAAAATTGTAAATTAAATTTATATGAATTTTGATGTATACTCATCCCGACTATACATAATCTGATTCACACACTACTACTCTAGAAAAATTATATACAACTAAACTGGGACTTACGACAAAAGTCTCTAGAAATCAAAAGCATCGCCCCTCATAATAGAGGCAACTCCTCGGGATTGGCCTGTATAACAAACTCAGTACATACACAAATACACCGACTCTGGCATTACCATTATAGAATATATAAATTACATCAATGTCATTAAATACAGCGTTAAAATCAGTATGTATGTTTTACATTGAGACATGTCTTTAGAACTTTCGACTTTGAAGCTCTATCTTTTGAAATCTCGAACAAGATATTAATTTCACTAACACTTAGTTCTTGAAAGTATAAACAAACATTTTTCCACCAAAAGGCTAAGTTTTGTAAATGTTAAAAATGATGGCTTCCCATCAGTCATGCAAGCAGGATAAGAGAATGGGAAGCAACAGTGACTTGGGGTTGTTTACTGCAGTAGACAGACACTATGAAATAGTCAGCATTAAACATTCTATTTCCTGCAGGAATTATTCTATGGATATCTGTCATCATGTGATCCACTAACAACCTTTCAGGTTTATATTATTGTAAAGGAGTTATTCAGAAAATAGTCAAATGGACCTGTAGCTCACCTGATATGGGGGTTATTCATCTATAGATAAAATCAAAGAGATTTAGAAAATGTTTAACAAGGAAAGAAGACTGTTTAATGATGAAAGAGACCAAATGCAGATATCTACTTGGAACAGTTTGGTGTTGTTGGCAATACCTATATGCTTTTCAGAAAATATAGGGCATGTATGTGTATTTTGGTAATTGGCATTTTCAACAAGGCAGATTTTCTTGTTAATTTCAGCTGTATGACATCACCCTGTAAAGAATCAGGTCAGGACCAGATAATCAAGTGGTTGATATTGTGAACATCGATTCATATTGCTTGTCATTCAGCCTGACCACCTCATCCTTTTGGTGGCCTTTCATGACCAGCAAGGTGAGGTGAGGTGAAATTGGGTTTAACGTCGTGCTTGAGAATATTTCGCTCATATGACGACATGCATGGGTGTGTAGGTGTATGTGCGGCTGCTTGTACTAGCCCAGACTGAAGCTGGTTTTATAGTGCTAGCCCACTGAGATACCATGCCGCAGTGAAGCATGAATACCCTAATCAGACACATTATACTGACTCCGAGCCGACCAGTCCTTGTTGTACCCATTAATGCCGAGCGCCAGGCAGGGACCAGTAAGTACCATATTTTAACGTCTTTTGGTATGATGCGGTCGGGGATCGAACCCGCGACCTTCCGCTCTCTGGGCGGACGCTCTAACCACTACACTCATGACCAGCAAGGGCTGCTGGGACAAACTGTAACCCAGAATCCTCAACAAGGCATCTTGCCCATATATTATAAGCATACTTATGATCTTTGGTTAGATTTGGTTTGGTTGTTGTTGAACGCCGCACACAGCAATATTCCAGCTATATGGTGGCGGTCTGTAAATAATCGAGTCTGGACCAGACAATCTGGTGATCAACAGCATGAGCATCAATCTATGCAATTCGGATACAGTGAGCCTGACCAAATGATCCTGTTAGTTGCCTCTTATGACAAGCATGGGTTGCTGAAGACCAATTCTAACCTGGATCTTCACCGGTTCTTTGGTAAGAGGTTTTAGAGGATTTATGGAATATAGCAGAAGGATAGAAGGAACTGCCAGGATATAACTCACATGAACCTTTGGTTCAGGCAAGCTAGTATACAGGTAAAAGGAAATTCTAACATTCATCTAACATAAACACTATAATCAGCAGCTACAAACAGTATGTCTATGACAACACTTACTGGTAACAACTTTGTGGAAAACAACTGACTCAAACATTCATACTGGGATGTGTTTAATTCTGTCGAAGTTGACTGACATTTTTTCAGAAGAACTGAATTATCATAGCAAACATTAAATGTTTGTAGAGCATGAATACTTGTAAGATGATTATGGATCTGTATTATCTCAGGACTACACGATGGGATGAAATCTATATATTAATCCTACTGGTGAGGTTTAAGCAGGAATCCCGAATTTACACCTGGGTTGAGGGTCTGTCGCTAGTCTATGCATAACAAGACTTGAAAAGAAATGAAAAGGGCATTTGTAACAAAAAATTACCACTTGGTGTTCTGAGTTTTGCTAACTCTGAAAATGAGAGAGAATGAGTTTAATATATAAATATCATACTACAAAACACTAACATCAAATCCCTAGAGGCAAAACTATTGGTTTCACAAAATGATCACTTACCTCTTAGAACAACCTTCATATGTACATGACATTCTACCTCTTAAGACATAACAGCACTGGTATTAAGTATCGACTATTCACAGCAAAACAACTTATTATGGGTCTATTATATCTAACTTTGCTAATATGCTACTCCAAAAAAGTTAAGGATCATCTGATTTTTGTATATTACTGTAATCAAAGACATAAATACTGTATGGTCCAAGTATGTCTTTGCTATGATTACTCAGTCAGGGCATTCAGATTAACTACAGTTACATAAAACAATCAGGGTCCTTAACTGTTTTAGAAGAGCTTATTTAAGATGTGTGTTTTTTCAGATTCTCACAACTCTTTGACATGTTATTTATATATATAGTGGGATGAAGCTTATGGGATCGAGAAAACCAAACAGACAGAAGCAACAGTTGTTAATTCTTCCGAACCCATTATTTGTTTCGCCCCACTTGGAAATGACAATGCACCGGTTTATGCCATTTTCATCACTATCTAAACATTGCCTATAAATATGGGCTATAATTTCAATAAGCGGGATTTAAAGGCATGGCATATTAAACTCTCACAACTGAGGTATGGGATGTAATGTCTCCACACTGTCAATATCAGTCATCACAACAAACAGTAAGTTTACTAAAGTTAATGAAACTACATCTGCACAGTTGGTCTCAAAGCTTCCAATGGTGTTATGGGTACAAGCCTAGTTGGGGTATTTGACACTGGGTAAATCACACATTCCACCACCGGTCTGAACACTTGGACACGACACTAGATCTTACCCTGCTGGATAGGTGGGAGGGTTATGCGTATCCGTAGATGGTTATCATCTCCAACAGAAAATAATTACTTATAACACATGCTTATAGAAACGTTAAGAGTTGTGGACACACCCACCCAGGTAGTAGGTAGGGCATTGATTATTTCATATATTGTTTAACATCACACTCAGAAATATTTCATCGCTATGACAGCAGCTTGTAAATAATCATGTCTGGACCAGACAATCCAGTGATGGATATTGTAAGCACCGATCCAGGCTGCCGGTGTATGATGACACTCAAACAAGTAAGTATGATGATGCACAATAAAACTAGCCTGACTATCGATCCATTGTGTGTCACACTTTGTGGCTGTATGTGGAATCTAACCTGGGCTTTGTAAGAGTTTTAGCTCCTTTCAATAGAAAATGGCAAAATTGAAAACATGTCAGAACTACTCTTAAAATCACTAAAAAAAAACTCCCCTCCATCATGTAGTGTGAAGGGGTACACACAACAAAATGGTGATGTGAAAGTGTTGAAAAACTACAGGTTTCTTCTAGGGCTGCGCAATATAACTGGTTTACTGGTATTTACCGGTTCAGACATGAAAACGATACGTATTGCGATACGCTGATTGAAAAACGGTATTTTGACTTACATTCAGAAAACTTCGTAACGCTCGGAAATCTTCGGATATTTCCTTGTTTCATTTGTGCCAAATATTATTTACATTTATATTTTGTCATGATTAAAAGTTTCTAATAAAGCTTAATCAAGCATAGTGATTTTGTTGTGTTCATGCTTTATAAATCAAGCATGAACTCGATTATACGTAGTTTTTTGTTTAAAAATACTTCTTGCAATATATTGCAATACACATCACAATATATGCTTTCGCATCGCAATATATCAATATATGAAAATTCTCTGCAATACCCAACCCTAGTTTCTTCATCTAAATAGAAATGGAGTTCATTTCTCCAGGACATCACATTCAGGGATATTAGAAACATGAAAACCAGAAAAACCTGCAAATACCCTTCGTTCAGGTTCCAGGAAAATAGACCAGTGATTGAAAAATTATGATGAGGCTAAGGCGTGGTAAGTAACCAACATCCTATCTGAGTCAAGCATAACAAACTTGTACATTTCTCTATAAAATTGCATAAAATGATCTATCAATGCCTATTACAGCTACAATAAATGATGACCCTGACATCCCACCACCTTGCAAGTATTTTCCCTTGATATGTTAGTGGTCTACAAAACCTAACATTAAATCACAGTTATACCATTTACAGAGACAAGTCTTTTCCCCTTTAATATATTAATGTTATATGAGTGCAAATATATATTATATATAAATATAAATATAAATTATATGTGTGAGACCTCCAACCACCAAATACCCACAAGGAACACTCACCTGTATCATGATTGACAGCATGAGCTGACACATAACAACATGGCACATATTACACAAAGCTATTTCCATGATCCTAAACTTATTTTAGCGCTGTGTTCAGCAATATTCCAGCTATATGATGAAGGTCTGTAAATAATCGAGTCTGGATCAGACAATCCACAGATTGACATCAAAGCATTGATCTATGCGTTTAGGGCTATGATAATACTTATCAAACAAGTCAAAAAGCCTGACCAACTGATTCTGTTGCTATGGTGGCTACTGAAGACCAGTTCTAAACTGAGCCAGAGGAGTATTATCTAATATTTGCAAACTTCAGAGGCTTTAAATGGTAGTATTCGAAATTAGGAATGGTCCTGGGGTTCTTGAAGATGGCTATTAGTACTGCTAATTTTACCCTGTTATCATTTTTGTAATAACAATTATACCTTGACTTTCATCATTAATTTTGGCCCCAAATGATATTTCATGGTTTTGCTATTTGCTGAATATATTTTTGTTCTGGTAGTTCACTGTAGGATGTATTTACTGTTCCTGTACAGTGTACAGATTATACCTGCAAGACTGACAACTAATATTGACTGTGATAGAATTCACGTGTTCATATTACACATGATTTCCATCAGCACATTCTAGGCCGCATTTCATTATCTCTAACATAAAAGGTCAAATATTGTAATATAAAACCCTGAAGTGATGCAGGTCTCAGACTATGTAGAAACCCACAAGAGCGGGTAAGGTACTAATAAACCTCAAAACCTAATTAGTGCAGACTGGGATTCAAACTGACGATCACCGTGTTTCTTGCCGAGCCCAGTTGATACAACTCTGAATTGTGAATCGTATCACCCATAGCCACTAGTTAAATGTATAAAACATTTCTTAACTCTTAGTTTTCAGATTTCATTGCTTCTTAGCTTAGGTGGAGAAAAATACATGAAAACATAAAATGGTTCTTCAAATATTGCAATATGTGCAGCGTTAGACAAGCTGGTCTAAACAAAACCCAGCACTTTCCTGTAAATTATGAAGCTTTCATTGTGTTAGGAATGGCAGATATGTAAACAAATGAATAAAAGCATCTTGCCTACATTGCAAACTAACTATAACAGTCTAGCAGGCTGAACAGATCATGGCAGAGATGATTAATCTATAAACATGAAACAAAGGCCCTTACAAGGAAGCACACAGAGCAAAGAGATGCTGACTGCTGACTTCAAGAAACACTGTCATCTACAGGGAGACTAGCTTCAAGATCATATCAAAAGGATTTGCCAAATAAGCACTGTCAGTTTCTGTTATTTCATTGTTCTGGTTTTAACAGAATTGTTTCTTAATAATTTACAAGATATTTAAGAGAAGCAAATTAAACATTTTCATATAATGTTCACATCTAATAAAAGCAAATTGAAATTCATGCAATCATTGAAAATAATGTGAGAATACTGCCGACATTGCAATCTCTAGTATCAAGGCTTATCTTTTTAACTGCGTTGAAATAGCACAAAAGCAGTGAGAAAGTGATGATCTCACAAAAACTTGACATGATATTGCAGGTGCAGTGCATGTGGCAAAACTTTTGAGTCACGTGGCAGGCAGTGAAAGTAGTGTGAAACATGCAGCAATACTGTAATCAATGTGGCACTATTCAACCCACATTGTCACATAGTGATACTGAAAATTGTGTGGCAGTATTGAGATTGACATGACAATACAGTGATGTGACAATACTGAGATAACATGAAAATACTAGTAATCATGACAACACTGAGAGTCATGTGGCAATTTGACTGTGATGTGATTACACTGAGATTCACATGACAGTAATGAGAGTCATGTGGCAATACTGAGAGTCACATGTGACAATACTGAGATAACATGAAAATACTGGGACTACTGGACTACTGAGATTCACTGAGAGTCATGTGGCAATGACTGTCATATGGGAACACTGAGATTCACATGACAGTTAATGAGAGTCATATGGGACTACTGAGATTCACATGACAGTTAATGAGAGTCATATGGGACTACTGAGATTCACATGACAGTTAATGAGAGTCATATGGGACTACTGAGATTCACATGACAGTTAATGAGAGTCATATGGGACTACTGAGATTCACATGACAGTTAATGAGAGTCATATGGCACTACTGAGATTCACATGACAGTTAATGAGAGTCATATGGGACTACTGAGATTCACATGACAGTTAATGAGAGTCATATGGGACTACTGAGATTCACATGACAGTTAATGAGAGTCATATGGGACTACTGAGATTCACATGACAGTTAATGAGAGTCATATGGCACTACTGAGTCACATGACAGTTAATGAGAGTCATATGGGACTACTGAGTCACATGACAGTTAATGAGAGTCATATGGGACTACTGAGATTCACATGACAGTTAATGAGAGTCATATGGGACTACTGAGATTCACATGACAGTTAATGAGAGTCATATGGCAATACTGAGTCACATGACAGTTAATGAGAGTCATATGGCACTACTGAGATTCACATGACAGTTAATGAGAGTCATATGGGACTACTGAGATTCACATGACAGTTAATGAGAGTCATATGGCACTACTGAGATTCACATGACAGTTAATGAGAGTCATATGGCACTACTGAGATTCACATGACAGTTAATGAGAGTCATATGGCACTACTGAGATTCACATGACAGTTAATGAGAGTCATATGGGACTACTGAGATTCACATGACAGTTAATGAGAGTCATATGGCAATACTGAGTCACATGACAGTTAATGAGAGTCATATGGCACTACTGAGCGTCACATGACAGTTAATGAGAGTCATATGGGACTACTGAGATTCACATGACAGTTAATGAGAGTCATATGGGACTACTGAGATTCACATGACAGTTAATGAGAGTCATATGGGACTACTGAGATTCACATGACAGTTAATGAGAGTCATATGGGACTACTGAGATTCACATGACAGTTAATGAGAGTCATATGGGACTACTGAGATTCACATGACAGTTAATGAGAGTCATATGGGACTACTGAGATTCACATGACAGTTAATGAGAGTCATATGGGACTACTGAGATTCACATGACAGTTAATGAGAGTCATATGGCACTACTGAGAGTCACATGACAGTTAATGAGAGTCATATGGGACTACTGAGATTCACATGACAGTTAATGAGAGTCATATGGGACTACTGAGATTCACATGACAGTTAATGAGAGTCATATGGGACTACTGAGATTCACATGACAGTTAATGAGAGTCATATGGCACTACTGAGATTCACATGACAGTTAATGAGAGTCATATGGGACTACTGAGATTCACATGACAGTTAATGAGAGTCATATGGGACTACTGAGATTCACATGACAGTAATGAGAGTCATATGGCACTACTGAGTCACATGACAGATAATGAGAATCATATGGGACTACTGAGATTCACATGACAGTTAATGACTGACTGACTGAGAGTTGGGTTTACATGAGCAATATTCCAGCAATATCAATGCATGGGGACACCAGAAATGGGCTTCACTCATTGCACCCATGTGGGATTCTCAACCTACTGACGCTTTAACCACAGACTACCCCAATCGCCTCTGACAGTTAATGAGAGTCATGGGAATACTGAGATTCACATGAAAGTAATGAAAGTCATGTGGCAATATTGAGGTTCACAAGACAATATTGAGAGTCATGTGGCAATACTGATATTCACATAACAGTACTGAGTCCTGTGGCAATACTGAGATTCACATGACATTACTGAGAGATATGTGGCAATACTAAAATTTAGAGACAATACTGTTGTTCACACACATACACACCTATGACTAAAGCAGAAAATGAGAGTACCTATGATCATGAAACCCTACACCTATACATTATTTACACACATCAAGAACTACTTAAATGTAAACTGTAACCAACTATCATGAAGAATATATCATCCATTATAAAACACATAATCTTTCTGATTTACCAACTGAAATATACACAAATGATGACCTTTCGATAAAGATTTGTAATATAGAGTTTCTATTTTTTCAAATTTGTCCTGCATTTCTGACTGTAAAGTGTATTGCATGCAATTGCTATCAAAAACATCACTGACATTTACATGGAACTGAGCAAGTGTTATGGCTGTTTAATGTTAGGGACAACGAGAAGCAACTACAGACTGATCATACAGCAATGGCAAGGAGAGACTAGCAGAGGTTTCCTTAAGATAAAGTCAGGTATGAAAAATGTGAAGAAATGTTGAGTGATGGGGTTTGTGTTGGTAGTTGGTGTGTAAGTGGGATGTGTGGTATGATGTCAAGAGGCATGGCGTGGAGGGTGTGGTGTGCGTAGTGTTGGTGATGTCAGGTGGTGTGGAGAGTGTGTTGTGCTGTGGATTGGATTGGATTGGGGTGGGTGGGGCATGGAAAGCACAGTGTCGTGTGGTGTGCTGTGGATTTGATTTGATTGGGGTGGGGTGGGGCATGGAAAGCACAGTGTCGTGTGGTGTGGAGAGTGTGGTGTGCTGTGGATTGGATTGGATTGGATTGGGATGGGGTGGGGTGGATGGGGCATGGAAAGCACAGTGTCGGGGTGTGGTGCAGGGTGTCGTGGAGAGTGTGGTGTGCTGTGGATTGGGGGTGGCGTGGGGTAGGGCATGGAAAGCACAGTGTCGGTCGTCGTGGTGGAGAGTGTTGTGTGTGTGCTGTGGATTGAGATATTGACAGGTGGGGTGGGGTGGGTGGCTGACTGTGTGGTGGTGTAGAGGTAGTGTTGGTTGTGGATTGGTGGTGGGGTGGGTGGGGCATGGAAAGCAATATGTCGGTGTGGTGTGAGAGGTGGTGTGCTGTGGATTGGGGTGGGTGGGGTCCACAGGCATGGAAAGCACAGTGTCGGTCGTGTGTGGAGAGTGTGGTGTGCTGTGGATTGGGGTGGGGCATGGAAAGCACAGTGTCGCGGTCAGGGTGTGGATAGTGTGTGTGCTGTGGATTGTGGTGGGGTGGGGGGGTGTAAATTGACACAGTGTCGTTGTTGTGTGTGGAGAGTGTGGTGTGCTGTGGATTGGATTGGATTGGATTGGGGTGGGGCATGGAAAGCACAGTGTCGTGTGGTGTGGAGAGTTTGGAGTCTGGTGGTGGTGGATCATAGGGTGTAACGTGTGTGTAGTATTATGGTACAGTGTGGAGAGAGTGGTGTGTGTTGTGTGTGGTGGTGAAAGTGGTGAGGTCCAGGGGTGTATTGAGATATTGACAGTGTTGAGCTGCAGGGTGTGATGTTGTTTTGTGTGGTGGTGATGAGTGGTGTCATAGATATATAACAAAAGACTGTAAATCACATTTTACAGGGGTTGACAACTAAACAACAAAATCCTCTTCTGAAAGCCACTGCACTTGCATCACTATCTTGACAGCCTATTGCTGGACCTGACCCCCAGTATAATAGCCACCCATTAAAACAACTCTCTATGAAGATTAGCACCATCCTGATAGCCAAAGTCGGCTTCACAGACATTGGAATATCCTTGGAGTGAGCACAACTAAACTGTTTCATGGGAATTACAATGTGTCACTAACCAGGCTTGTCAATATTTCAGGTTTAACTGCAACAGCTCATGTAATACTAAATCTAGTAAACATACAATCTACCAAAAGACAAGTTTCTCCAGTAGACTCAGAAGGTTTGGGCACAGACTGCTACACTACCACAGCTACTGGCAACTTGACCGTCACAAGTCGGTCAAATTCTACAAACAAGAAGCTCAAAAACATTTACACAGTTCTTACTGGCAAACTATGACATAAATTTGTAAGACATTGAAACCAGAGTCACCATTTTTATCCCATCATTTCTCTTTCTTAAAAAACATTTTATTCTTCAACTCTGATCTTTATAAACAAAATAAAAAACCACACTTTGTGACTTTAGATCAAACGTAGTGTTATGACATTTACCATTCTTTCTTACAGAGCCTATAGTTCAGAAACTTAGTTCTGTGTCATTAGTTTGCTCAGTATTTCAATACTGTCTGTACTATACACTAAAGACAATGCCGCACACTGCAAGACCATTACTGCTGACATCTGCTGATGCCACATGCACGAACACTGAAGACGATGTGCCTCCCACAGCTGGAGACGCCAACACACATGCAACCTACTGTCCTACTTTTTGGTGTAGCAGTGTAGAATTGGTAATATTTATATATATATTTAAATATTTTCCCCGTTCTATCACTTTTCAATCAGGATTTGATGTGTCTAATTTTCTTGATTGTCCAATCAAATTCGAGTATTTCACGTAGTCATGGTGGAATTATATATATATTTAAATTTTTTCCCGTTCTACCACATTGTCAGCAACATGTGGGAGGAATGACGCATAAGGTTATCATTTTGGTGAAACCCATGAGCACGAGGCTAACAACTTATGATAATAATCAAAGAAAATCTGGAATTTCTATCTGTTGGATCCTGGAATGGCCAAGGGAGGCAACTCTGCAAATAGCTTCCTTATGGTCCACGCTTACCCTAAAACCAATTACTATTACACCAGTGACAGAAAGTAGGTTGCAGATGGACTGAGTCTACTACCAGCATGTGCGAGGACAGAGACAAGGCATGAGTGAGTGAGTTAGTGAGTGACATTGAGTAGCCACCTGATGTCCACAGCTTCAGCTCCTGGTACCGGTTCATCAAATCTTTCTGCAGGGCCTTTACCTAGTCCACAAAACATGCAGCATATATGTACATGCAGGTAAACCAAACAACACATTATTGCCTAATGAATCATACTTTTAGTGCTCGCGTTACATATGCATCCATAAACAAGAATCCGTAAGATTACACATATCAAGTTCTTCACACACACATTGAAACTTCAGCCTTGAGTTGTTTATAAACTTATGGAACTAAAATGTTCCAGTTGCTTTCAGTTTGGCTGAACAAGTTTCCTTCTCCTTGACATTATTTGTTAGCTTTGGATATTACAGACTGTTTGAAGTATTGGTGCGTTAAGAATAGAGGTCAAAGTATTCTAAAACATGAATGTCAAACAGTGCAAGAAATATGTCTTGCACAATCAATGCAGACATAAACGTAGATGTAATAAAAACTGTTTGTGTTAATCTCTGGACTGTGTGTACCTCTCTTTGTGTTGACCATACCCTATGCCGAGTGCTGACTTAAACCCTCTATGGGCTAAACTCAAACCTCTCGGAGCTGACCTCACCCCTTTCTTAGTGGACCACATCCCTTTCTGTATGGACCACATCCCATTCTGTAAATGACCTCTGTGTGGACCTCACTGACCTCACCTTTCTGTGTGGACCACATCCCTTTCTGTGGTGACTTACTCCTTTCTGTACTGACCTCACCCCTCTTCTGTACTGACCTCACCCCCTTCTGTGGTGAACTCACCCATCTGTGTGCTGACCTCACCCCTTTCTGTGTGGACCACATCCCTTTCTGTGCTGACCTCACCCCTTTCTGTGGTGTACTGACCTCACCCCTTTCTGTGTGGACCACATCCCTTTCTGTGCTGACCTCACCCCTTTCTGTACTGACCTCACCCCTTTCTGTGTGGACCACATCCCTTTCTGTGCTGACCTCACCCCTCTGTGTGCTGACCTCAACCCTTTCTGTGGTGAACTCAACCCTCTGTGTGCTGACCTCAACCCTTTCTGTGGTGAACTCAACCCTCTGTGTGCTGACCTAACCCTTCTCTCTTTGTGCTGATCAAACTCCTCTCCCTTATTCTGACCAACCCCTTTACCTGTGCTGATCATGTCCGCTGATCGAAACCCCTCATCTACCCCTCTGTCCGTTGATCAAACCCTCATCTACGCATATAACCCTCAGCTTGCCCTCTGTGTGCATATCACCCCACTCTCTATGTGCATATCACCCCACTCTGCTGACCACACCCGTCTCTCTACGTGCTGACCACACCCCTGCCCATGTGTACTGACCACAGCTAATTCCCTCTTGGCTGCCTCCATCTCTTCCTGGGGGGTACCCTTGGGTCGTTTCCTCCGGTCCACCATGTTGGATGTGTGGTCCTTGATTCGTTTCTCAAGTTCTCGTATCCTTGCCGCTCTGAAAGGACACAAAAAATGTTAGCTGCTAATAACCCTGCTTTTAGCAAATAATATTTCCAAATAAAGGATTCCTTAAATACCCAATGCCTTTTAGAAAATGGTCAAGAGTAACGTTATCTTTGAGATCACACTTTCCCAGTAAGGTGCTCATTCTAGAACTTTATGGGTCTGATTCCAAGTTTAAACCCACATGGAATGGACCAGAATTTGTACTGTACTGTATAAAATGTATAACATGTGGATTCGGGATTACACAAAGTGCCACCTGCATGACTAAAGCAGTATTTGAGCAAGGTGCTTCTGGCAATGTTCAGGTCATCATTTCCGGAATTTTTTTTCTCTCTGCTACACATGTGGGCAAAAGTGAAATGAGATGTTATTACTTGTTATACGCTTCAACTGGTTGCTAGCTGATAATGTAAACAAAGATGGAGGGAAATAGGCAATTCAATTGTTAAATAGTTGTGTGTATGTGCGTGCGCGCATGTGTAATTCTAGAATAACCATGACAGACTTACTTCTCCTCCTCAACCCTCTGCCTGGTTGCGGGGGATATTGCACGTCGGATACGCTCATGAGCTGTCTTCACATCCTGCTGTAAAAGACACAATAGAAACGTTTTCAATACATCATAAAGTATCATGGTATGTGCGAGTGAGCGAGTGAGTTTAGTTTTACGCCGCATTCAACAATATTTCAGCTATATGGCGTAAATAATTGAGTTTGGACCAGACAATCCAGTGATCAACAGCATGAACATCTATCTGCGCAATTGGGAACCGATGACATGTGTCAACCAAGTCAGTGAACCTGACCACCTGATCCCGTTAGTCCAAGCCTGAAGATCAATATTCTAACCCAGACCCTCACGGGTACATGGTATTTGTGTTTAATTACAGATTTGTGTAGAGTGTGGAGAGATTTGTGCACATGCTTCCTGTAGACAATGAGTTCCTTTTCTTTCCCTTAAAGGTAAGACAGTACAATTATCAAGTAATAAAATCATAAAATGAATGTCAACAAACCTGTACTGCAGTATGCAAGTTAAAGTACAGAAAGTAAAAGTAGAGAAAGTAAAAGTAGAGAAAGATAAAGCCGTTATTGGCGGCGATAACTTCAACTTTACCACCAATCTGCAGCCACCTCTATCAACCACAAGCCACTGATTACTTGAAGTATTCATGACCTCGTGTATGGGTCGAAACTAGAGCCGAACTGTTCTGTTAGTTCAACGCAAATTATGAGAACTAAATAATATATGCGTGTATCTGACTAAAAATATACTTACTTGAAAATAATTTTCAGATTGAAATTGATAATCTGACATGACTTGTCAAAATGTAATTCAAGCCATGGCAGGTAATACTGATCTTGTGTCCTTGTGTCTCACCTTGATTCTCTCCTCGTTGCTCATCATCTTGAGTTGCTCCTTGTCAAAGCCATAGGGAGCCTGTGTTGCAGGATCCATAAAATCTGTCAATAGTAAGTGATTGTCTCAATTACAAGACGTCATAGCCGTTTCCCTTGTAATATTGTATACGTAACAGTACAGCAACCTGGCCTTGTAACTTAAACACATATCCATGAACAGTATTACAAACATATTCCATAACATTGCATGGTTCAGCCATTAACTGCAAACCTTTCTGTCACCTTTTAACACCATTAAATATTGCAACTTTGATCTGACAACTTAATGAATTAGTTTGTGAGAACTTGAGGAAACTGGAGGTGATTGCAGTACTTGTGAAAAACAGAAACAGGCCCTTCATTGTCATGTCCAATTATTACCTGACCCTGACCTTAATCAAAACAACATGTAAGATCCAATACTATTCCAAGTCTCAGTTGTAGTCAAGTCAAGTCAAAAGTGAAATTCTTGCTTTAATCTGAGAAATTTGAAACAAAATAGACTTTGGTAGGATATACTGCGACTCAATTTCAGTAATCTATCCGACATAGAAGTATTCTGTTTTCAGATTTCCAAGGTTTGTCAAAATGCTTTTCAAAGCATGGTCTGGAATGGAAGTTGGTAAGCAGTGTTTCTGTTCTTTCTCCAGTATATACCAGATACTGACCAGCAAGGTGTTACCAGGAACACTACATTACCAGATACTGACCAGCAAGGTGTTACCAGGAACACTACATTACCAGAAACTGACCAGCAAGGTGTTACCAGGAACACTACATTACCAGATACTGACCAGCAAGGTGTTACCAGGAACACTACATTACCAGATACTGACCAGCAAGGTGTTACCAGGAACACTACTGACCAGCAAAGGTGTTACCACCAGGTACTGAACACTACAGCAAGGTGTTACCAGGAACACTTTACCAGCAAGGTTACCAGCATGTTACCAGGAACACTACATTACCAGAAAGGTGTTACCAGGAACACTACATTACCAGATACTGACCAGCAAGGTGTTACCAGGAACACTACATTACCAGATACTGACCAGCAAGGTGTTACCAGGAACACTACATTACCAGATACTGACCAGCAAGGTGTTACCAGGAACACTACATTTGAGAATTCGATTCTGTATTCCGTTGGTGTAGGCATCGGTCCAATACTACATATGTGTATGCCATAGACAAGTGTTATATGATTCAATCAAATGTTGACATTAAAGTTAGTATTCTACGGAGTGAGTGAATGAGTTTAGTTTTACGCCGCACTCAGCAACATTCCAGCTATATGGCAGCGGTCAGTAAATAATCGAACATGGACCAGACAATCCAGTGATCAACAGCATGAGCACCGATCTACGCAATAGGGATACGATGACTTGTGTCAACCAAGTCAGTGTGCCTGACCACCTGATCCCGTTAGTCGCCTCTCACGACAAGCATGGGTTGCTGAAGATCAATACTCTAACCCGGATCTTCATGGATCGTTCTACAGACTGACATCGCATGGTAAATATACAGTGCAAGATTATTAATTAGGGTACAATCACTGGTTGCCATAAGGATATCAAACTGAGATTTAGAAGGTTATAAGTAATACTTTGTGGGTATATAATTTCCACATAACAGACATTTGAGAATTGACAGGTCCTATGTCTGGTAGAAAGGTCAAATAAAATAGATAACGTATCAATGACTGTTAAAAAAAACCTAACTTTTAAAAAATTCTTCCATAAAAATATTTCCCTTCAAATAGCTTGAAAAGAGGTCATCTTTCACTTTAACATATGTAAATAAATCGTTCTTACCCTTGGTTCCTTTTTGCAGACTTTCAAAGTATTTTTTTTGTTTTAGTTTCTTTGTTTCGTCTCTCCAGTCTTTCAACATCTGTTCATCTCTGAAATTTAACACACCTAATTAATGTCACATAAAACTCAGTCAGCAGCTAAATGGGTTATTCAGCCATTTGATAATGGCATACAGCCTGTAATGAAGAAAGACATACATTAATAAAAACCTTTTAACACACCACACACAATGCTTAATGGAGAGGAATTGTGATGGCTGGAGAATGAGTTGCATTGAACGTAATTACGGTGATATCACGGTACTAAGAAATAAGCCAATCGTGACCTGGATCATGGATCTTTACCATATCAGGGGTTAAAAAATCCCATCGCCCTACGCCCGGGACAAGTCAGTTTTCATTTTGGGCAATCAAATAATGGTATCTTACTTGTCCGTGGGCTACTAGATAATTTCCACTTATGGTTTCAAACTGCAAATAAACTTGGATTTAATTTCATATCTGTTCAAAATGTAGCTTTTAAATTTTGCAATGATGATAAAGTAGAGTTATCTTTCTTTGCTATTTATCACTTTTCAATAAATAGTCCAGTAAACATTAACATCAAATACCATGTTGATTTATTCTTTCATAATTACATCATCATGATTATGTCATAAAATCAGGGCAAGCGGAAAATTTGTCAGGACAAGTTACTTTCTTAAAGTCACTTGCCCTGTGGCAACCCCCATGCATATTTACCTAAAAATGTAATTTTTAGAGTAAAATTGATATTTTATACTTATCCTGACTCATGCTCTTTTGCTTGTCTTCTTCTTCTTGCGAACTTAGTGGAAACACTTGTATCTCCCTAATTGAAGCTCCCTTCAATGTAAAATCACTAATTAGTACTCACCACGAGTTACCCCCTTTCCACAAGCGCGGGAAACGAGGGCGCCACCTTCACCCATGTGCCTCACTCTCTCCTCATATACTGAGCCCAACATTTGAATTTACAGGGAAATCCAAAGTGTTATGTGGGGAGGATGGGAGGGCTGACCTCATGAGTCAGGATAAGTATAAAATATCAATTTTACTCTAAAAATTACATATTTTTCCTTATCCTGACTCATGCTCTTTTGCTTGTAGAATCCTACGGAACGGAGGTGGGAGTAATAGAATACTTTGGATTTTAATAATTAGTGATTTGATCTGTGATGATTGTAATAACCCTATGGGAACTTCATAAAGGCACTGAACTGATGAATTCCTGCTGCTAACTTATCAGCTGCCATATAAAGGTTATTACAATGTACTTACATGTATTATGATAAAGTATATATAACATTAATACAATGCTTAAGACTGATAGACTTAAATTTGTTAATATGCTAGTATAAACTCCTTAGAGTTTGTTAGCTAAAATACTTTAAGATATAAACATAGTACTAAGCTTAAGATATGATTAAACTTAAGCTAATTATATAATAGCAAAACTCTTTAGAGTTTGTTAGTTAATATACTTATATGATATAGATATAATGCTGAGCTTAAGATATGAATAAGCTTTGGCTACATATATAATAGCAGAACTCTGTAGAGTTTGTTAGCTAATATATTTTTATAATATGAGTATAATACTGTGCTTAAGATATAATTAACTTAAGCTACATATATAATAGCAAAACTCTGTAGAGTTTGTTAGCTAATATATTTTACAATATGAGTATAGTACTGTGCTTAAGATATAATTAACTTAAGCTACATATATAATAGCAAAACTCTGTAGAGTTTGTTAGCTAATATATTTTACAATATGAGTATAGTACTGTGCTTAAGATATAATTAACTTAAGCTACATATACAATAGCCAAAAACTCTGTAGAGTTTATTAGCTAATAGATTTATAATGTAACTATAGTACTAAGCTTAAGATAAATTTAGACTTAAGCTAAATGTATATAGTAAAAAACTCCTTAGAGTTTATTAACTAATATACTTTTATGTTATAAACATAGTACTGAGCTTAAGATATGATTAAACTTAAGCTATATATATAATAGCAAAACTCCGTCGAAGTTTTGTTAGGTAATACATTTTATAATGTAACCATACTGCTTAAGATATGATGAAACTTAAGCTAATTGTATAATAGCAAAAAAACTCTTTAGAGTTTGTTAGCTAAAATACTTATATGATATAAACCTAGTATTGAGCTTATGAAGGAAAACTTAAGCTACATATATAATAGCAAAAACTCCGTAGAGTTTGTTAGCTAATACATGTTATAATGTAACCATAAAGCTTAAAATATGATGAAACTTAAGCCAAATATATAATAGCAAAAACCTCTTTTAGAGTTTTGATAGCTAATATACCTATATGATATAACATAGTACTGCTCTTAAGATATGAATAAGCTTAAGTTACATATATAATAGCAAAACTCTGTAGAGTTTGTTAGCTAATACATGTTATAATATAACCATATTGCTTAGAATATGATGACACTTAAGCCAAATAGCAAAAAAAACTCTTTAGAGTTTGTTAGCTAATATACTTATATGATATAAACGTATTACTAAGCTTAAGATATGAATAAGTTTAAGCTACCTATATAATAGCAAAACTCCGTAGAGTTTGATAGCTAATATATTTTTATAATATGAGTATAGTACTATGCTTAAGATATAAATAACTTAAGCTACGTATATAATAGCCAAAAACTCTGTAGAGTTTGTTAGCTAATGCATTATCATGTTACCATAGTACTACTCTTAAGATATGATTAACTTAAGGTAAATATATAATAACAAACTCTGTAGAGTTGTTAACTTATATATTGTATGATGTAATAATCATAGTACTGTGATGATAAAAGGAACTTAAGCAAATTATATATAGCATGTAGCTATTTAGTACTGTTATAAGATAAGTAGAAATCTGTAAGATTGACTTATCTTCTCCGAGGAACTGTCAATTGTTGTGCGAGGACCATGGGATCGAATTGGTGGATACCTGAGACGTCCTCGGTGGTGATATCTCTCAGATAATGGTTGGCAACCACCATATCGGATCTCCAGAAATAAACCCTCCATTATTCCAAAAAACATTTGTGTAAATCAATTGTAGAAGTTAACGCTCTAATATCATGAGTATTAAAGCTCATGGAGGGTCGGATTGGGTCCATCCGCCTTGTATGCACATAGTATGACAGTTCTGATCCAACGGAGATATAGTACGAGACTTCATTCTGCCTAAGTTGAAGATAGAGGAAATAATCTGTTGCATTTTCCCTTCCTGTTTGGTTCGGTGGAGATAAATTTACAGTGCTCTTGCTGGCCATCGTGATAGAATCATCGTATCATGGAGCCCAAGTATGTTATCCAGGCGTGTTCATAAACCTCACTTGTGAGGTGTTGGAGTACTATATTCAGATCCCCAAGTTGGAGCGTGAAATTTCCGTTTTAATTCTCCAATCAGAAGCTTAAGTAGGTTTACTAACCATCCAGTTGTGTTAGTAGCTTGATGATTAAATTCAACTGTAGTCTGAGACGCTGTGGGTTTAGATCAACTTGTATCCCGTCGTCTAGGTAATTCGCTGCGAGGTTCTTGACGATGTAGGTGCACAACCAGGTGTGTCTGTCCTCGCTGAACTTTATGTAAATTCGCCTGACTGCCGTGGCTTTCGTCCTAACTTGACAGGGGAGGCCTCTAACCTGAAGAAAGCAGCCCAATCATGAAGGTTCAGGTTAACTGGACTGTAAGGAGGCTTGCTCGCTCACTGATATATAGTTGTCACTTGTGACGTAAGTCTTGAACTGTGAATTAAGATCGACCTCTCGCGAGGTCGCTGTCCATCGCGTCCAATCAGAACAAGGCATTTTGATTCTGTAGAATACCCGCTGTGATGTCACCGTGTAGCAGGAAAAACCTTGTATAAAATCTTGCCGCCGCTGATATTAGCATAATCGCCGGTCTTCACCGTAGCTTCCCGGTTACCCGAAAGTGACCACGCGGTTTCGAGGGTTAATGGTAAACGCTGAAAACCTTCGCCAAAATACCTCGCCTGTAATATTAATGCTGGGTAGGTTATTTTCCTGGCTGTCGGAAAGTAACTTCAGTTTGAATCTAATTCACTTCCTTATATAAAGGTACAATAACCTTGCAAGTTGTCAGCTTGTAGACTGTATACATGAATGTATCGTCATAATTGTAGAATTAAAGCTGAACTTGTTGTACATATTTCTTCTCAGAAAAGTTGACGATTATGAGTTATACTCGCTGTAACAAGGCTGCTGTTCAATTTCAATATTGAATTGTCTGCAGATATGCGTAATGGTCACGCATGTAGATAATCGTATCGTCGTCCGGGATTGCATATTCTAGCCATCTATACGGAACAGTTGATTTCTGTGAAGATCTATGAAACGCCGTTGACTAATTAATACAGCGACGTTCTGTGTTGTAAATAGCCTGTGCAATTGTCTTCGCAGAGGCTTATAGATGGCATCTGGCATACAGTTGATAGACAACTTATGCGATGTCTTGAACGGACTGACGAAAGTAGCTATATATGACGAAAGTGGCTAGTATATGGAGACCTTGGAGGAGACTTCCTCGGTGAACTCTGGAGACTTCGCTAAGCTCTCAAGTATCCCTTCTGGGTGAAGTAGACTTGAGTTACTTAGCCTTCGCGACCTTCTCGCTAAGGTATCGAAATAAACCCCGATTAGTATATATATATATATATATATATATATATATATATATATATATATATGAAACGCTTGCTTCGCTTAACGGCCTCTGTGTTTAACAGGATGCGGGTCGGCGGCGCTTACTCCTCCGCCGATGTCCCTTTGTAGCTGGTGAGGCTCTAGCTCTTCGCTGAGGCGCCTGGGACTTGCTGGTTCTGCATAAGTAGGGCCGAGTGGATCATCTTATCATCTTCAGTAGTCGTTTACTAAGTCTGGTGATAAGTGTCTCATTGATCGCTCTAGATCTATTTAGGCCAAGAACATACGCCTCGCCATGGATTCAACTGAACCAATTTACGATTGTAGTTCTTATTCTTGATATTGATGATCAACTTGTCTATGGGTTGATTTTCTCGAGACTTGTGAGGAGAACGCTTGATAGCTTCGCTAAGCTCTTGTGTAGTCCCTCGATGTCCTTCTAGATGATGATGATCTGATTCAGGTGTCCTTCGCTAATGCCTTCGCTGGCTTCCTCTGCGTCCGTCCGGGGAACGACGATATGACCTTCGCGAAGGCTTCCGTGATGTCTGATGGTCCGAGTCCACATCTAGGGATGAAACCGGCGAAGGTGATGATCTATCCCGCCCGCCGCCTTCGCTAAGGCTGTACATCTAGGTCCTTCGTCCAAGGTGGTCCGTGACTTCCTTCGCTAAGGTGACATCGCCCTGGTTGCTACGCTGACGGGGTGCCTCTGGGGTGCTGTCTCACGCTTGGAGCCTTCGCTGGCTCGGTCCCTGCTTCTGCAGTCTGTAGCGATCCTCCATCATGGTCATAATTTGCCGCGATCAGGTCCTCAGGGATGGACTGCGACGCAGGTCGCCGGTGCCTTATCTGCGGTGTTAATGGAGGGGTCCACAGGAATATCGTCCGACATCAGTGTAGAGGCATCAGGCTGCATGGTGATCTCTGCTGATGTCATTGTAGCTGTCACCGGTCGCTTCTTGTGGCGATGTCGGGATGATGATCGGCTGATCATCGTGAGACGCCCAGGTCTGGCGGCTGGAACAATCTCGCTTGAGAAAGTCCTAGTAGACTTCGCTGATTTCCCCTCAGATGTCAACGCTGCCCCTCGTGTGCGACGCCTGCGCTGAGTGTTGGTAGCGATGGGACCCTCAGGAAGATCATCGAATATCAGCGCTGGTACATCAGGCTGCATGCTGATCTGCGCTGACATCACTGTTGCCGACATCGGTCATTCTTTGATGTACATCAGGTATGATGATCGGCTGATCATCATACAGGCCCAACCGCTGTAGAGATGTAGTAGAAAACCTCTAGTCTACGGCCGCGACGATGGGATGTCTGGGGAAGCAGGACGCTTCTTGAGATGGCGGACTACGCCCCACTTCCACCACTCTAGCGGAACACCACACGGGAGGGGGTCGGCCAACAGCAGTAGACTGGCGAGGGGTTCAGGTGTATCAGTCATACTAGACTCTGCATACGCCGACCATCTGCTGCGCTGCCCTCAAACGCAAAGTAAATATTAATAAAAGGTAGAATTGATAAATTAGTACCGCGAACTGCAATGTGAATAAAATGAACATGGCGCAGTACAACTAAGGCATATTAAAAGCGGATCAGCAGCAGAATAAAACCGTAATCTGCAATAGTACAAAAATTTTCATCAACGTAATCCACTGAAACAAACACGGCCCCCGTGAATAAACTGTAGAAAACGACTAAATATCAATATATAATCGCTGAAGGATACTAGCTAAACCTCTATAGATGTCTATACGAGGTAACTAACTAAATATAAATCAAAGGATATAGTGTCGGAGACACAAGCTTCTCACGCCCAGCTCACTGGGCTTAAGAAGGAGAGAGTGAGGCACATGGGTGAAGGTGGCCCTCTCTTCCCCAAGCTTTGTGGAAAGGGGTAACTCGTGGTGAGTACTAATTAGTGATTTTACATTGAAGGGAGCTTCAATTAGGGAGATACAAGTGTTTCCACTAAGTTCGCAAGAAGAAGAAGACAAGCAAAAGAGCATGAGTCAGGATAAGGAAAAATCATTATTCTTTAATAAGTAGGTGATCCAAAAACAGTTTGAATGTAAAGAATGTAAAGTTTTTAAAAAATCACTCTATAATGGAAGCAGAAAAAGCAGATCTTAGTGCTGAAAAAGGTTATTTATTTTCTGAGGTGCATAGAAAGAAGATTCACTTGACTTAGGCATCTGCAGAGTGAGAATAACAGCAGAAGTGGAAATAACCCATTGCCCGACGTCCGAGTCCAGTGTTTTTTCCTGTCGGGCAAGCACATTTGTATATCACGCTGTACCGGTGTCCAGTTGACATTCCAATGTTAATTATGTTGTTTATTTAAGAAATCACCAAGAAAATCGGCCGGTATAGCGGAAAATTATCAGGGCAAGTGATTTTACATGTGCCACTGTACCGGGAGTACACTAGCAATTTTAAAGTTATTTCCACCCCTGAACAGATGTCAAAGATGCATTTCTAAGGTTTAGACTAGCTCTACTGTCAACTGTCCTGAAGACATTTCCAAAACTGAACAAGAATTGAACTCACTTCAATGTTTCCATTACAACAATATCATCATGTTCGGTGACTCCTTCCCTACTGGATGTATAATTAGGTTGATGAGCGGGCAACTTGCAATCTATACTGCTGCTTAGTTCACCAGGTGTTCAAACCTCATTGGTCAAGTCCCACCCACCAGCTTTGTGTTAACTCAATAGTTACCCACACCTTCATTTCCCCTAAAATACACCCATGAATATGTCTACCCTTCCCATCTATCCACCTAAAATCCATCAAGGATGAAATCTGTGTCAAAAACAATTGATCCTACTTGCTAGGTATGGACCTTTATGAACTAAGATTACCAGACAGAAACAAAATTTGATTCCTAAATTAACAGACTGCTTGTACTACACTCCTGTCCACTGATCTCACACACCTAGCTATCATTAAATAGCACTTCTACCTATAGTCCGTTTGGCTCAAAAGCGGACCGATGAATTGTAATCTAACTCGAAAACTAATAAACATATAATACTCAATGAAACGCTGATCATAATCAAAACATCAGACCAACTCTGTGATTTGTTTGCAGAATTTATGTCCTAAAAATAAAAAAGTTGTTTAACAAACTATCATTAAAATATTGACACAGTTCACTATTTGTTATGAGGGAGGAGTGCAGGGAAAGGGACAGCCAGGTGTTAGAGAAGCACGTGCACAAGTGCCGACAAAGTTATTGATTCATTAACCTGTGCTGTGCCGTCTCCATCCTTTCTCGCACACCTGGCTGTCCCTTACTCTGCACTCCTCCCTCGTAACAAATAGTGAACTGTGTCAATATTTTAATGATAGTTTGTCAAACAACTTTTTATTTTTAGGACATAAATTCTGCAAAAACCTCTCAGAGTAGGTCTGACGTTTTCATTATGATCAGTGTTTCATTGAGTATTTTATGGTTATTAGTTTTCTAGTTAGATTGCAATTCATCGGTCCACTTTTGAGCCAAACGGACTATATACACAACCTATTCCACCCCACACCTCTCCACCCAGTAATTCCCACCTGTCCCCCTGTGCATGACCTTGAATCCTCTTTGGTGACACCAGTAAGCTCTTGGAGCTCCTCTTGCGGTGAAGGTGATTCCTGATTGCAGCACTGAGCAGTCGAGGAGAGAGTTAGAAGAAGCAAGCAGTGCTCAAATAATAATCATTAGATGTGAAAGAATAGCAGTTAAAAGTCATTAGGCAAAATGAAAATAATGTGGTTCAGATTACACATATTCACAAAATAACCCATGAAAATCCAGATATAAATGGTCCTCAGGAACATATGCTTGTCAGAACAGTGACTTAGTGAGTGAGTATGGTTTTATGCCACTTTTAGCAATATTCCAGCAATATCACGTCCAGGGACAGAAGAAATGGGCTTCACAAATTGTACCCATGTGGGGAATCGAACCCGGATCTTCGGCATGATGAGCGAACACTTTAACCACTAGGCTACCCCACCGCCCCTTGTCATTTAACAAGATTACAGTCGGTAGTCAGACTTCCTGACTTGGTTGCTGCATGCAATCATATCAACATGGTGCAGACTGATGCTCACCATGATAGACTTGATATATTTACAGACAGCTGTGATATATATTACTGAGAAAGCCATCCACAACAATTTTCACAAAAAATGGGGAGGTACATGAGCTTTTCTGAAATTTGTAAAATTTGAGCATATTCTCGTGACTCCCCTATTTTTTCTCACAGCATGCACCCTAAAAAAGATGTGCTGTCAGGTAATCAGAACCACATTATTTGTTTTAGACCAGATCAAGCATGTGAAAGAAGTGACCATATCATAAATCAGGATGATGCAAGTAATACCAATTATGATAGGTAAGACTGGCAGGCATATAAGCAAATACATGCATACTGTCATGAGAGTGAGTGAGTGAGTGAGTGAGTGAGTGAGTGAGTGAGTGAGTGAGTGAGTGAGTGAGTGAGTGAGTGAGTGAGTGAGTGAGTGAGTGAGTGAGTGCTATATGGTGGCAGTCTAACTGACCACACAATCCAGTGATCAACAGCATGAGCATCGATCTAACACGAGTCTGACCACCTGTTCCCATTAGTTGCCTCTTAAGACAAGCATGGGTTACAGGAGACCAATTGTAAGCAGGATCCTCATACATTCATTCATCTGCGTCGAGAACAACCTACCTCTCCAACTTGCCCGAAGCTCCGACTTTCTTCAACTTCTCTAAATGCTGTTGTTTCATCTCTGTGTAGCTGACCGGTCTGTGCAGCTCTGCTGAGTGAGGGACCAGGCCACCGATGTCGGGGTTGGACCCTGCTGACTTGTGATGGTGTTTTGAGCGTGCCCGTTGTCGCATGCGTGCAATCTCTCCTAGTGACCCATCCCACTCATCGTCACTGGAGCTGTCCTCCTTACTCAAGAGTATTGAATCTGGAGAGTCAGCAGAGATCATTAGATATTGATTTGTGAGTAAATTAACATCCTATATCCTCCAGACTACACCAATACAGTTTATATCAACATATATATTGTCCAAGTTTCAAAGTTACAACCTTTCAGGACAATATTTTGCTGACATTTTAAAAACTTTGCTCATTCCCACCAATATTGTACTGTTTTCAATTTTACACCTTTCCAGCTGATATTATCCTGACATTTCTGAACATTAAAAGCTTCAAAGATAAAGATTCTCTAGCATCTTACACAGTACACAGATGTAAATCCAGTGCATACAAATGTACAGACTGGATGAAGTAAAAGCAAACATTGCATTCTGCACAATAATATTCAAGACAGAAATAAATAGGTTCTATTTCAGATTATAAAATTTTACAGTACAATACACTACTCCATTTGATTACCCTCAGAATTACTTACTGGCGTCCCCTGGGCACCAATTTTTGTAGATCCTAATAAGAACAAGGTTTGTACTTTATAACAAGGGCTGCTTGAATTTCATGCTTAAATTTGCTGAACATAAATATACCATAAAAATATTTTCTTGATGTCACAACATTGACAATATATCTTTCTACAAACCTCCATTTGTAAACTTGGCAGATTTGGCCTCTAACATTTCAGTCAAAAACCTCAGCACTTCAACTGTCCCCTTTTCAAGGACTTCAAGGGGAGGGAACTCCAATGGGTTGTTTGTAATGTTGAGGCCATTCAAGGTACCCACAAAACCTATTTGAAACAGATTAAACTTCATTCAGCATATTTATCTTTAGAAAAAGAAAACATTTTAAGCAAATTACCTACTCTTATAAGTGTGACCCACAACAAATACAAGCCACATTTTCATCTTCACTGCAAAAAAGAAGCTTAGGCAAACAGATAAAAAATTGTTTGGTACAGACATGACACAAATGTTTGGCCAGTTTCCAGATGTAGCTGGAAGAAACACTGGTTTGGCAAACAAAAAAAGATAGAAAATGATCTCATAAAATTGTCTGCCTGGTTAAAAAACAAACAGGAATGAAAATGAAGCAATGCTAAAGAGAAGTTAAACAAATTAAGGATTTAGTTAAAGAATAATCCCCTCTCTACATCCTGTTTATAGCAGTGCCGCAGGACTTTTTTTCTGGTAAAACAACTTGGTTGACAGACTTACTCGGAAGAAACAACTTGTAAATCTTAACCCACATTTGTGAGATCATCAGAGGGTCAATTCATTACAAAATACAAAACACCTATCTGTGTATTTCAACTCCTACAAGCTATAGTAACGGCTTTAAAGACCTGTGTATGCATCTCACCTAGCTCTAGGGGCAATGTGCGGAGATTGTTGCCCTCCAGTAACAGGTTGCGCAGGTGCTGATGTTTGCCAATACTGGACGAGGGAAGGCGTGAGAGATAGTTCCGTCTGAGGTCCAGCCATTTCAGGTTCGTCAGGCAACTGAAGAAGTCTTCTGGTAGGTAGGCTAATTCGTTGCCTTCTAGGTACAGGTACTGCAACAGAATGATTTATAAGGTCACATCCAGTTTCAGGTCAACATCTAATAAACTCTCTTTAGACCATCACCAGGGTCCAAGCGAAGATTCTTCAAAGCTCCTACAGTCCAAATCATGTGATCATATTCAATAGCAAGGACAGGTAACATCATGGGAAATGAAATGGTGCAGTATTTGTAATGATTATACACAACTTCATGATCAGATGCTTGCTACCGCTACAGATCACATTAAAAGTTACATAAGAAACATGTTTTATTTTTGGCAAATTTTGGCCAATCAACGAAAGGATTAAAAAGAGGTCTACATTAGCCAATCAGGCAGCAGCTTGTTCAAGTCTATGGGCAGTAGTTTCATAATGGTAAATTCCTTTCCAGACTACACTTCATATTTTTACCTTCCAAAAATGCATGGATGGGATTCGTATTTTAGAGCTTCCCAATGGCTAAGGCCGCTGTGATTGGTCAGGTGAAAGTTCGTTCTCACTGGTCATGTATTCCAGTCCCCCCAAAATACTTCCCCTGACCTTATGAAGACGTCTGAAGATCCAAGAATATTCTAAGTCTCAGGAGCACACAAATAAATACCATAAACAAGTAAACAAGCATTAAATAGTGATGAATGATGCAACCGTATGTCACAATAACCACAGATGACCTTGAAATGTCTCAGATCTACCACCAACATTTCACGTGGTTAATATCATATTTATTGATATTATGTGAGTATATATACTGAAAGGCAAAAGAAATGTCGTAATATTGGAAATGACATTTCAGTATCAATGGAACATTTAAACCTATTTTTTAAAAATAATACGCCACTGAAATGCAGTACCGACTTTCATCAGAGAAGATAACCCCTCTCCATTGTCCCCCACGACAGTTTTGCCGCTGTTGTGTCCACTTGGATACATTCCCGGTGGTGACGTTGGGTGAATATGGGTCTCCTGGCAGGACATCGACAAAACAGGTTCCTGGCTTGGAGACGTCGCCGAATGGTAGGTCACTGACTGGTCGCTGGTGGTTTCCTATGGTCACCCAAGCTGTTTCTCTGGCCCTTACAAATAGGTCTTGCTTGCGTGTTGATGGATGATATGATGGTCCTGGCGACGTGTTGCTACATCGGGTTGACCACTCACGTGGACGGTCATCAGTGCTGCTGGTGGCGCTTGTATCGCACTCTAAGACGTTCTATCGTTCAGATGCGCTGCAACTGAAGTCATTAGCAATGACTCGAGCATGTTGACCAGCGTGCAGACGTCCAATAGCTTGTTGTGGTTGATCTCTCCGTTAACCTAGTCATAGCTGCTGTGTTCAGAAAACAAGTGAACGATTGCCATTCAAGCCAGCAATTTATGCCTGAATGCATTTATGATGCACGTGCATCTCGATTTCAATGTTGTGTTTGTGGGAACTTTTCCCTCTCCAAAAAACAAAAACATTTCTAACTTCAATCTCAAACAATACTTTATTGGGCAATGCAGGCTATACGACCACGATTCATGTTTCTTCAAACTTGACTTCTGGTGTATATTTTAAAAAATAGGTTCAAATACTCCATTGATACTCAAATGTCATTTCTAATATTATGACGTTTCTTTTGCCTTTCAGTATAGTTCTGTGACTGAAGAGGTAACCATGCCCCCCAAAAGTAAAATGATATAACCATGTTTTCACAAAAAATAAATGTCGACCTGTTCTTATTAGCCAAATCTTTCAATATCAGGGTTGGATAATTCAGAATACAATATTTTTTTTATACATGGATTAATTCTGTGTCAGAATGTGTAACCAGAAACTTATTTTTTTACCTTACCCTGTGACCTTGAACTTTGACCTTATAGCTCGTTATTAGATAATCCCATAGGTCTGTGTTGAAAAATACGGTCATTATAAAATATCCTTGACTGTGAACAATGTTGTGCCACATTTCATAAGAAACTGTGGCACAACTATAGTCCATCAACTTAACTTTTGGCACCCTGTTTTTCACAATTTACATAAAACTCCTGAATATTTTAAAACACTGCTCTGTTCATATGGAAATTGTATACCGTGACCTAACAAGATATCGATTTTAGTAATTTTAAAACGATTATTAAAGATTTTGCCTTTAAACCTGTCATATAATAATTGTAAAACTGTGGAGAGTTTTACGAGGGGTTAACGCACCTGATGGAAAAGCCAACAACACTGTAAAATGTGTGTGAGTGTGATATGTACATGCACGGGTATTTACATTAGCACGCTTAAGTGATGTCAAAGATCGTCAACACGCACAGGTTGTAGGGAAAACGATGTTGTACAAAGATGACCGGCAAATCATCAAAAGAGTTTACAACTTTTTCAAGCGCGAGGCAAAGCGAAAAAAAACTCTTTTTTTAATTGAATGTTTCTCCAAAAGACATTTAATGCCACGGAGATCTGCAAAGAGTTAAATCCCATGACACTATTTCAGAGCCTGACGATGACATGGCAGTTAAATTGGGGACCGTCTCAAAACATGCAAAGAAAACAAAGCTTGATGAATTCGATAGAAGGGTTGTGAGGGATGTCATGCGTCGGTTACATCGATCCATATTGTCAAGAAAACTGAAGAAAATATTGTTCAAAAGAAGACCATGACATCATTGTAGAAGCATACCATTTGCAAGCTGTTGCTCAAATTTTGATATAGATACAAGAGATCAAGCAACCAGTCTTTAAAGACTTCAATGAATCTACTTGTTTAAAATGGATTTATGATGATTATACAGTCCCAGTAGATTTGCTTGCAGGCGTAACAATGTAAACAAGATTCATGCGTGTCACACCATGTTGTTGGCTGTTCCATCGTATCATTTTACTCCCTTGTATAACTACTTCTATTTTTCATATTTTTATAAGATGGCTTCTTAAGAAGAAGCTTTAATAATTGACATAAAATTATGAAATTTAAACCTTGGATAGGTCATAAGATATAAAAAGCGTATGCACAAAAACATTTTGAAGCCATTTTTGGTTAAAAGGTAAATTGTGAAAAACAGGGTGCCAAAAGTTCAGTTGATGGACTATACATTGCACAATATTTCTGCAAAGGTAGCCTTGAACATAGACAGAAATGCAATTGACATTTCATGCGGTAATATTTTTAAAGAAACAGGTATATTTAACGTTCCATGCCTATAGCAGCCCCCATGTCACAGAAAATGACAAGAGATATAAACAGGTTTTATGAAAACATGAATGCTGACTTTAACCTATTACTTATTTCTTTATCAATGTCTTCTTAAAATAGGCAATATCCTTGGGAAAGTATATACCAAAATTATGACAAGTGCATTGATAGTTTTGAACAAAAATAACCATTGAGAATGTTTGTGACAATTTTCTGTCATGGCCGTAATCTTTTCATGACACATGGCAAAGAATTCCCAAGGGAATAGGTCCCAACAAAACCTGAAAGTATTCCTGTTTCAAGGGGCTGCTAGGTAGCTCAGTTGACATGGGTTATAAAACTTTTAGCAAATACATAATCCTTGCAGTGATAAGTCCAAAGATAAAACCAATTTCCACTGACTTCTATTTGGTCACAAATAGGTTTTCACTATGGCTGGTTTGGCGGCCATATTGAACTTATATTAAAACCACTTGTAAAATTGGGATGACAGCATCAGTCAGAACCAGCAATTAGACTTTCAGCTATATTGGTGGAGTGGTTATGAGAAGGCTTCTGGTATATGAAGAACATCAGATGATGGGCAAACAGGACAAGGAATAAACTTGCTGCATTTTCAATCAGGTAAGCTGACAAAATCAAAACCGCAAAACAATGTTTTTTTCAATAAGTCATTAAACACTATGGTCAGAAAAATACATGCCAATCACAAAAGGCATTAAAAAACTGGGAAGCAGCAATAAACTATCACGGGCATAGATTGTACTCTTTTGTACCTGTTATGTTACAGTTTTTAAAATTGAGTTTTTTCATTGCAATAGTATTTTTTTAACAGTGTTTTTGAAACACTGTAACAAAGTCAGGAACAACAAAACATAAATGTCTGCTTAATTACCTTTCACATATGTGAAAAAAACAGGTCAGCAGACCCAAAAAGCACTTATAAAAAGCAAATACCACTCTGTTCCTCAGGGTTATATATATAATTAACAATGAACGTTTGGCAGGTGAATACCAAGTTGGATTTTTGACATTTATATATTTTTGCTACGTTAATGTTTGTACTGAACATATGACAAAAATGAATTCCCAAGCCACTATTCCAGAAAAAAGATGCACCTGTTCTATCAAACAGAAAATCAATGCCAGTAATTGAGGCTGAAACATTTTTAAAACACAACTGATGTGATATTCCAAGATTATTACAGGGTATTACCAATAGGACACACAAGTTGATTGAGGGAGACATTTTGTATTCCTGAAGTCTGCTTCCTGTCACTGCTACAGTCAGGAAAAAAGTGATAGAAAACACTTCCAGTACACAATTAACAAGTCAGGACAACCTATGTATCTACTGTGCTTCAAACAACCGTGACAAGGGGCAACCCATAATAATCACAGATACACTCAACACTGCAAGTATTGACAAAACTGTCACAGTGATTTTTATTAATAGAGATATGGGGTGCCAATGATAGGAATTAAGCCAGAGTTGGTCTGATCAGTTACACCGACAATGATGATAAATTGCTTCGCATATGTAAGTTTCCAGGAAAAGAAGGACTTATAATAGTAAATATTGATCATTCCTACAAAATCTATGCATGACAATGACCGTATTTATCAAAGTCGAAGACAGATGTACCTCAAGCATACAGGAAACTCTGGTTATAACAAACTCAAAGGGACCGCCTCCGTGGTGTAGTGGTTAGAGCGTCCGCCCAGAGAGCAGAAGATCGCAGGTTCGATACCCAACCGCGTCATACCAAAAGATGTTAAAATATGGTACTTGTTGGTCCCTGCCTGGCGCTCGACATTAATGGGTACAACAAGGACTGGTCGGCTCGGGAGTCAGTATAATGGGTCTGAGTGGGGTATTCATGCTTCACTGTGGCGTGGTATCTCAGTGGGCTAGCACTATAAAACCAGCTTAAGTCTGGGCTAGTACAAGCAGCCGCACATACACATACACGCGCATGCACGTCGTCATATGAGCGAAATATTCTCAAGTACGACGTTAAACCCAATTTCACCTCACCTCACAAACTCAAAGGGACTACTAATTCTGATTTGTTATAACCATAGTTTGTTGAATGCATTTCAGCTAAAACATACAGTAATTGGTCAGCAACAACAAAACATTTCATTTTATCTTGCCTCACACATAAGTGTTGTTTTCTGATTGGCTGAGTGCTCTTCTATTATTTTCAATGTACCCTGCTTACAAGCGAGTAACTTTTTCTATGTACCCCGAACTGGGAATGCCGAACTCATTTGGTAATTAGTAGTAGCAATTCTTTATCTCGAATAACATTGAATCACGTATGATGTACGGAAACTACCGATGTTTTACGAATGCAAATCGATGGAAGGGAGATTAACTCTAAATTGTTTTTCTTGTTGTCTGGTACTCCATACTATTATCCGATACCCGTGTTCAAACAGTTCAAAAATTACCATTGAGGTGTTCGGTAAGATAAATATGTTGTTCACTGGTCCCTCGGGGCCCATGGGTTGATGTACCCGGGGTTGATGTACTTCGGGCTCAGGGAACATAAACAAACATTGAGGGTACATCAGCCCATGTCCCCCCTCGAGACCAGTGAACAACTTATAATATCTATATGTAAGTTCATTGGTTGACACATATTATTGTATCCCGATTGCATAGATCAATGCTCATGTTGTTGATCACTGTATTGTCTGGTCCAGACTCGATTATTTAGAGACAACTGCCATACAGCTGGAATATTGCTGAATGCAGCGTTAAACAACAAACCAACCAAATCATAATAAGTGTTTGGTATAAACATAGCTTACTGTTGAGGTGATTACACAATGCCATTTAGAAAGTTGGGATTGGGATTACACTTTCTTAGTAAAGTATAGATTCTAGTACTTTTGTGGGTTGAGTCCCATCCGGGATTCGAACCCGCACCCTCAGAGTCAGGCACCTAATCGCCAGCACACAAAGTCAGACGCCTAGACCGCTCAGCCACCGCAGCTTCCACAAAAATGGAAGTCGGACAACTGGTAGTCTAGACTGCGGGCTTTGTGTACCCCTCTGATAAGTGTTAATTGGCGCGACTCCCACGGCTGAAAGCAATGATTACACAATGCCATTTAGAAAGTGGTCAAATGTAACATATGTTATATTTGGGAATTCACTTTCTTACTGTTGAGGTGTTCAATAAATGCAGTCTGTAACTTAGCCACTAATCCAAAGACCAATAAAATTCAACTTCATCTAGTACGCCCAGCAAATAAGTAATATGATTACTCAAAACACTACTGAAAAAGACAGCCATTGACAGCCACTACAGACATGTGCCAGCTGAGAGCAAAAATTTACCACTTTATGTAATTCAGGTTATCATCAATGATAACCAATGTTACGGCTTTGTGGGGGTGATTTTTAATTTCAGTGATATCAGGAATTTGTAAAGAGGACTGAAATATTTTAGTGCTTAGTTTTAAACTATTGACACCAATATTATATCTGTGATATGGGATAAATACAATGTAGTCTGTTATCCATTTATACTACACTTGAACATGTTTGTGGCATTTTATTAAGAAAGATACTTGAGTGAGTGAGTATGACTTTACACCGCTTTTAGCAATATTCAAGCAATATCACGGCAAGGGACAGCAGAAATGGACTGCACACATTGTACCCATGTGGGGAATCGAAAACAGGTCTTTGGCGTGGTGAGCAAACGCTTTAACTACTAGGCTACCCCACCACCCCTTGTAGAAAGAATACTTACAGATAGCCTATGTTTTTTTTCAAAGTTTTGTTTTGATAATTGCTTATGCGCTCTGGCAGAGCCATTCATGTTTCATTCATCAACCAGAACTAGAGTGTCTTGTGAAGTTCTGATCACAACGTGTTTACAAGTGTGAGTACAACATTAGTACGATGATCGTCATGGTGGTTACTATGTTCAGAAAAATCTTTACAATTTTATTTCATAATATTTTAGAAACAAAACATATTTAAAATTAGACTTAAATATGAATAATTTCCTTCTTGGCGATTCAAAGTTGAGTATCCTTGAAAACCACCTTTTTATAATAACTAAAGCGTTACATTCAAAATTGTCATTACAATAAGACTATTCCCATATTTACCCAATTATTACCACTAATAAAATATAATCACAACATAGAGAAATTCATTTCTGGAGATAAGACCAAATTTGCAGAAAAATGGGCCCCTATACTAATAAGTAATATAGATGGACGCAAACCAATGCTTGATCATACCATCCTTTCTCTCCTCTATTTTCTTACCTTCGTACATCCCTAAACCTCTTTCTTCGTACTTTATTCATACACCCATAAATCAAGTCGTCTCTCACTTATTCCGCAGCTTAAATATATGTGTTGTAAAATAAAAATAAAATAAAAAATCTATATCCTGATAATAAGTCCCACTCATTCAAGTTCTAATGGGGTTTGTATCTCCTATACATTGTCCAGTGTAAAACCTGTATATTAAGTAAATGAGCTTTTCACAAGCTTTTAATATTGTAAAGATTTAGGTTAAATGAACCTTAAAATTAAAATCAGTTTTGTCAGAAAGTCACTTTGGACCGACATGTCATCTGACTAACTTGTTAACTGATTATTGGTTCAGTTAATAATTATTATAGATCTACCTCCAGGCCTTTCAGTTCTAATACTTCCTCTGGTAGATGCAAAAGTCCCTTGTTGCTCAGATCTAAAGTGTTAGCACCGAGAGCTTCTACTTGTCTAATAATTTGTAGCACTTCCTCCTCTTGTTGTCGCGTTTTGGCAAGTGCTCGTACACTCGGAGAATCATCCCTCGACTCCAGATCTATGTCAAGTTGTTGAAGTTCACTACACGGTGATTCTGCACCCGAATCAGACAGTTGGTCTGATTCGGTGCTCTTCTGCAAATTAGTCATGATAGCGTTAGAATTATGCTGTAAGTGTTCATATTCTCAGTTGATGCATGATGTCTTATTCTTTTCCAAAGAAATCTCACACATTGCACCTCGTCCAAAATGGCGGAAAAGCTGTCTTGTAACTATGGCGACGTTGAGTTTATATACTATTCTAAATACAACTGTTTATATGTATATGTAATCGTAACTAAATGCCAAAGTCGCAGATAAATAAATATATATAGACTCAATTCATTTACTACTCGTGCATATTAAAGTATCAATGAAACTGTGAATAATTACTTGCTACGTGTTATTTGTACACACACACACGCACAAAACGCACAAAGAGCGACAATGTGTAACACAATCCAAACAGCCATGCATTGAAATTTTCACTACTTATCTAACCATATTTTTAATGCCTAATTAATGCATAATACCTCATCTAAATTCTTCCTTATTGTGTTTTACTAATTTTGGTTGAAGATTTTGAGTGACCGGAGCAACAAAGGTTTCCATATTTCTCGCAACCAATGTAGACCAGATTAAATCTGATTTAACCGGTGCATAATAAAAGGTAACGCAGGGTAGTGCCCAACAGAAAACGCACACAATGCAACCTTAGATATAATACAAGATGGTTGGCATTTGAGAGCCTAACAAGCGTTTCACTGTTCAAGAAAGCTAACATTTTTTTTTTTGCTTTCCTATTTAATGGATATCGGTCAAAGCGGCTTCGTATCTGCATCATCATGGGTTTAGAACTACATCTATTTCATATGAATAACACAACAACCCTGAGAAGACAATCGTCTTTTTCGGGTTCCAAAGAGACGCAAAACAGTAAACAGGCGCGAAGCAAGACATTTTTTTCGTGTAAGTCCAATAGGTTGCAAAGCTTTTTATATTAATAGTATTAAGGACTTGGCCAACCTTTTTAGCAACAATCATGCGTAAACCCGGGCTTTTGTTTATAATGGTAGCTACGCCCCTGGTAAAGGACAAAAGAAAAAATCAGAGCGATTTACACCAATAAAGAACAAACTAAACAAAACAAAGCAAAACAAAACAACCCTTCATGACATCCAATACACACCACGTCATAGGAGTAATGCGATATATTTGATACACAAATCAACAATCACCGCATAGTTTGACATGATATGACCTTTGTATTGTACATTTCTTCTTCAAACTGATCTCCTATTGGTTGAAGACAAGCCGTGCACCTCAGTCCTGATCATATTTCCCAAAATGTGAATCATATATTTTGTTTAATTTAGTATATTGCAAGATTTTCTTCAAATCGTTGTTGTTTTATTTATAATCTGTGCACATCACTAATATTATTATTTGTCGCAATACCTGTAAATGTGTCACCAACATAACTGACCTTCCACTTTCACATCCATACTTCGCTTTCAGTCTTTATCGGTGTTATTGTAGTTTCAAGTTTCACACTTCATACACACGTTTGAATAATTCATCCAGATTCATCGTAAAATATAGCAGTTATTCTGAAAACCGACTGGCGTATGTTAGAAACATAATTTTGTTTCAAGCAAATAGTATCGATTTGCAAATCACGTGATAAATCATGTGACTAGGTGACCCATGCCGTACAAAATGTAAATATTTATGAGATCACGTGATGTTTATATTCAGCCAAACTCGAAAGCAGCACATGCAAGAGACACACGCTTGTGCGAATTGTCGATAGTGAGAAAAACTATTTTCATTCACTTGAATAGAATTTCTTGCGAGAAAAAAATCAAGGAGATTCATTTATAGCCTGAGGCTGTCCTACACAGGAGTTGGTAAAGCTGCATTGATTCATTCCGTTGAAAAACTGATCTCAACTGTAAAGTGAAAGGATCAATGCTGTGACAGTGGGTACGGGAAACAGCTCTCAGTGAATAGAATGGCTGTAAACCCATCGGATGTATGTCAATGCTGAACACAGCACTGGACTAACGTACAAGGATGACATATACGCTGTGAACGCTCGGACTAGCGCCGTGTAACTTTATTATCACTGCGCATCGTGACTTTTCTTTCAAGCTTAGACCACCGAGGTTGATGGTGGTCCACTGAAATCTCAGCAAAATTGGCTGTACAATGGGAACGGGGCATTCGGCGCGGAAGGAATCTTTCGACGCGAATGGAGAAGGTAAGAATTAATTGAACAACCACCTGTATTTGTGACCTCGTCAGTTTGGAATACTACTAATAATTAGTCTTTTTACGTATTCGAAATATCTTGTCGATTAAGCATAAACAATTTCTCCTTCATTCATTGGCATGGAAAAATGATCTTTCACGGAGGACCCTGTCATTTAAACGAAAAATAGCTTGTCATTGCAACCGTTTCATTTTTTGTAAGACCTTGTCATTTAAACGAAACAAATCAACAACGCATGTCATTGCCAACCGTTTCGTTTTATGGAAGACCTTGCCATGTAAACGGAAAAATACATTCTCATTGCAAACCGTTTGGCGTACAGATCACTGTTTGTTTAACACTGTTTGTACTTGGAAATGACTATTTAAACAGTCATTTCAATGTGCAAATAGTGTTATAATGTGATATATGTTCATAAGATGCGTCATCTTAACAATTATTAAACAAGTGTTTTAGTGACGTTCTTTATAAAGGTGTGTCAACTTTTAGTTCCCCCGTGGGCAAAAATATGACCTTTAAACTTACCAATGGTTATGTGTCCACTGGAACTGTGCCAATAGTGTCATATTCTTTTCACCATTTTAGCAAACGTAAAAGAACATGTAGCATAATCCTTGGGAAGGGTAGACAGCAAAATGTCATATAATCATATAATAACACATTTTACTTTTATTTGGGAACACAAGAGGGCCTTCCATGACATTACACACTCACAGGGGGCGGTGGGGTAGCCTAGTGGTTAAAGCCTTCGCTCGTCACGCAGAAGACCCGGGTTCGATTCCCCACATGGGTACAATGTGTGAAGCCCATTTCTGATGTCAACGCCATGATATTGCTGGAATATTGCTGAAAGCAGCGTAAACCCCAACCCACTGACTACACACACACACAGACTGACCGTTAGATTAACACCCGGTCTCTGAAGCATAGATTTGATAAGACAACTAACTACATATAAATGGAACAGGGCCGTTATGAGATGATAGAATCCAGGAATGTAGAATCTAGTCTTGCTTTCTTCAGTCTCAAACAGCCAAATATAATATGGAAACTATAATAAGTCAGGAACTGTCAGAGGGACTTGTCGACAGGATCAGGCGGCGTATAACTGGTTTTATAAGGTTCCTGAATTCAGTGTTGGTTTTACAACATGAAGTGTGTCGTTTTCGGTCTGTTGCTCTATTTAAAACGAAACAAGGTGAATATGCATATCTTGATAATCACAAAAATATGTAATTTGCCGCCCCGCCATTTGACAGATGGGATACCGGGACATAAAGGGCCTCAGCAAACTGTAACTGTCCTGAAAGGCGACTGAGCGGCACGGGTGTCCAGATTCGGTGATTTAGTTTATCAATCACTGGATTGTGTCCAGGATTCACTAGTGATTTGGTTTATCAAGGTTTGTCTGGTCCGGACTGGATTATCTATCACTTGTCATTATCTATCACTGGTTTTCTGGTCCGGATTATCTATCACAGGTTTGTCTGGTCAGGATAATCTATCACAGGTTTGTCAGGTCCGGTTTATCAATTACTGGATAATCACTAGTTTGTTTGGTCCGGATTATCTATCACTGGTTTGTCTGGTCCGGATTATCTATCACTGGTTTGTCTGGTCCGGATTATTTATCACAGGTTTGTCTGGTCCGGATTATCTATAACAGGTTTGTCTGGTCCGGATTATCTATCACTTGTTTGTCTGGTCCGGATTATCTATCACTGGTTTTTCTGGTCCGGGTTTGTCTGGTCATTATCTATCACTGGTTTGTCTGGTCCGGATTATCTATCACTGGTTTGTCTGGTCCGGATTATTTATCACTGGTTTGTCTGGTCCGGATTATCTATCACTGGTTTGTCTGGTCCGGATTTTCTATCACTGGTTTGTCTGGTCCGGATTATCTATCACTGGTTTGTCTGGTCTGGATTATCTATCACTGGTTTGTCCGGTCACGGATTATCAATCACAGGTTTCTCTAGTCCAGATTCAGGTATTTACAGTCCGCCGCTTTACATCTAGAATATTCTATGTGTAACAAACACGTATACAACGATGCGACATCCGTTGCTTCGTCACAAGGACGGAATTTTACACTTTCCGGTTTCGCAGGTCCAGGTCACAGGACCAGCTAATAACATTTCCGGTCACAGGACCAGCTAATAACATTTGCGTTTCTCGTAACGTGCTGAGCTCTGATGCTATATATAATGAAGAATGTTTCCACAGGGTTTATGAAATATCAATGGATACAGCTTAAAATTGGATAGATTGAAAGACTAGCCGAGAGGCGATTATATATTTAGCAACATTATTTGATGACTTATTAATGTAAATCTACACTATTAATGTAGTTCTGTACCATATTACAGATAACAGATATAGGATTCTAACAATATGAAAACTTTAACTGTCCGCATTTTATTTGACAGAGGCGATTCATTCGTGCACATGACCTCAGTAGGTTCATGTGTCCTCAGAACCTAAAGATCCACCGCCGCCTTACAGCTGGAATATTGCTGAATGCTGTGTTAAACATCAGACAAACAAAACCTAAAGATCCTGGTTGTAACCTCTCTTCAGCAACCCATGCTTGTCGTAAGAGGCGACTAACGGGATCGGGTGGTCAGGCTCGCTGACTTGTCATATCCCAGTTTCGTGATGATGCCAATCACTGGATGGTCTGGTCCGGATTCGATTATTGTATCCCATATGCGCAGATCAATGCTCATGGTGTCAATTATCGGGTTCAGACTGCCGTCATAAAGCTGGAATATTGATGTGGGTTAAACATTACACATGCACGCGCGCACGCGCACACGCACACGCACGCACTCACACACACACTTCGCAAACAAACACTCACGTACATCTTGCACAGTGACAAGTCATGATCAACTCAACTCGTTCTGACTGATTATTCGCGATTGATTTTTATTTAAATAAAACACATTGAATCGTTTAACCCGAAAACAAAATATTTTGTACGTATGTTTGAGTTTACTTATAAAAAACAGGATCCGTTTCTATGTGACACGTACTGTCGTAGTTATACGGTCGCTGTGTTGACGGAAACATAGTCCATTTTACCATGAAGGCTCAGTACATGTCAGTTATTAGAAATATCAGTGTAAACGTCAGATAGTCATGAGGGAAATATGTGCTTGAATGAAATACATGTTTGTGATAGTAAATTATTCTGTTCTGTTCAGCCCCTCTTTCCATTTTCAACCTTCAATGAAACATTGAAGACACGTGGTCGATCCGCTGCCTTTTACCATGAGTGAGTGATTAAATATAGTTTTACGCCGCACTCAGCAATATTCCGGCTTTTGGCGGCGGTCTGTAAATATAATCGAGTCTGGACCAGATAATCCAGTGATCAAACAGCATGAGCATCGATCTGCGCAGTTGGGAACCGTTGACATGTGCCAACCAAGCCAGCGAGCCTGACCACCCGATCACGTTAGTCGCCTCTTTGACAAACAAGGGTTGCTGAAGACCAATTCTACCCTGGACCTTCAGTTTTGTGTTACAATGAACGGTGACATCTGCTCCTATACGTTGTAATGTCTCTCTCTCTCTCTCTCTCTCTCTCTCTCTCTCTCTCTCTCTCTCTCTCTCTCTCTCTCTCTCTCTCTCTCTCTCTCTCTCTCTCTCTCTCTCTCTCTCTCTCTCTCTCTCTCTCAAATGACATCATTTGACGTTCTTAGATTCGACGTCGTTCACGAGGATCTCTTTGTGACAGTTAATATGGTGGTTGGGTGATATCCTGTAAGTTTATGTGACATTAAGCTGGGAACAGATGTAAAGCTGAACGAGACCTACCAGAGAATGTTGTTATTATTAGTTTGTATTTTACTGTTTAAATCCTGGTTCATGACCCTGATTCACAAACATAGCGTCTGTCGGGAGAGCGGAAGGTTCAACCCTGTCGTCGTTGTACCAGTCGTCTAAGGCGCTGCTATTCGCTGTGCAGAGTTGCGTCCCTTTGGTACTCTGGAGCCTATGAGTCGAGTCGCTTTCCATGACATTACACTCTGACAGGGGGCGGTGGGGCAACCTAGTGGTTAAAGCCTTCGCTCGTCACACAGAATCCCCGGGGTCGATTCCCCACATGGGTACACTGTGTGAAGCCCATTTCTGGTGTCCCCCGCCGTGATGTTGCTGGAATATTGCTAAAAGCGGCGTAAAACTAAACTCAATCGCCGTCCTTCTTCGATTCCCCAGACCGCTCCTATACTGGTTTCCCATTTCTCGATACTGCTGTAGTCAGCGTATAATGTCACATCTTGTACCCAGCGTGTTTTGATAGCTGTCAAGAAGGAGGTGCTGAATATAATGAAGCAGCAAGGTATTATATTACGTATAAAAACCACTGTTTTCAGCGACAACCCGGAGTATATTTTATTCATGTTACCTTGGTGTCGTCTCATGTCCGTTACACATTTTCTGCACTCACTACAACCTGTTCACCATGGTGAATGTCACTGGTTACCGACGCGCACAAAACAAAACTCGTGTGGATAATCGGGGCTGCGTAAAGACGGTTGGTGAAATATTTGCTTCAAGTTGTGAGTTGTTGAGATTGTGACAATTGTGATATATATGCGTTGAGAGTGGTATAAAACATAAGTGTATCACTAGACAAGCATAGGGTAGCAGGTCTCTCTTCTGCTTTACCGGACAAGCATAGAGCAGGTCTCTCTTCTGCTTTACCGGACAAGCATAGGGTTGCAGGTCTCTCTTCTGCTTTACCGGACAAGCATAGGGTAGCAGGTCTCTCTTCTGCTTTACCGGACAAGCATAGGGTAGCGGGTCTCTCTTCTGCTTTACCGGACAAGCATAGGGTTGCAGGTCTCTCTTCTGCTTTACCGGACAAGCATAGGGTAGCAGGTCTCTCTTCTGCTTTACCGGACAAGCATAGGGTAGCAGGTCTCTCTTCTGCTTTACCGGACAAGCATAGGGTCTCTCTTCTGCTTTACCGGACA